GAGAGACCGAGATCAAATACATAAACATGCACGTTAACTAGCTATAACTAATTGTCACTTTGGATAGTAAAGTCTTCAATTTGTCTAATGTTTTTAGGATATCTATGAAATTTTACATGTCTATACTTCTCATTATATACATCTATATATAGGGAAAAAATCATATGAGCCCACTGGTCGATGGAATAGTATAAGCCAATAGCCCATATTGAATTTGAGCCGATCTAATGGTTGCGAATGTATTCATCCCATATTCAATCTGGACCATTGGATCTTTACTGTAGTTGCTAGCTAGCAAGCTGACATCTGCAAAAACATGAAGATGATCTCTCTCTCTTTATATATATATATATATATATATATATATATATATATATAAACATGCCTGTATGCACCTTTGGCCCACAGATACATCATGGGGAGGGTGATCATCGTTGCTGCGGAAGATCTTCAAATTAAACCAACGCTGCTCTATGACCACATAATTCGCTAGCTGCCCCCCTTCGCAATCTATTTTGAACTCTAAATCGAATGATCTGAAATTACAGGCGTACTTGATCTTTCTCAAATTCCTAAAATAGAGTGTAGCTAGTGGGTGCTGGTAATATATCCTGAATGTGAAATTGGACTCCTCCAGTGACTCAAATATGGCCTTTTGAGGAAAACCCTGCAACTAACAATATGCTAGAAATTTATCTAGAGAAGTGCTGGTGGATGCTGGCTATCAGTGTTCAGAAAGTCGACTCAGCCAAGGTATTTGAGTTTTGGTTAGGGCGAGTTACTTGAACAAGTTCGAGTAACTCGTCCAAGTCCAGGTCAATTTTTTTGAAAAAAATAAAAACAAAAATATGGTTTATATAATGTAGTGACCAACTTTTTTACTCAAACAATGTATATCATGTAAAAAGATAAAATGATGGTCGTAACGGTCTTTAGAAAATGATGTTTTCTTGTGAGTTTCGAACCCTTACCACACTGAAATATGTGTCGCGATGAATCCATGTGACTTAAATTTCACATTTAATATAACAAACTTTGCAAACACCCTACTTGCCCAAAACTTGTGTCGCCCATAAAACGAGGCCGAGTTATTTGGCCTAGTCCGAGTGGTCTCGGTACCGCTGGTAATATAACTTGAATGTGAAATTAGACCCCAATGACTCAAATATGGTCTCTTGAGGGAAACCCTGCTACCATCAAATCAAAGGCCCATCATTGGTCATCTTTCCAAATTTTGCAAATTTTTAATTTTTTTTTGGAGTCACCTATATAAAATGAAAGTACAAAAGTATCCTGTTAAATGTTATTTGAGATTGTTTGGACCCCTTTAGTGAATTTGTAATGGTTTCAACCCCTTAAATGATATTTTTACAATTGTGACGCTTAGTTTCTTGTACATATGTCTACCCATAGCATAAATTTAATACTATAAATTCCTTAAAAGTATAACAATATTTAAAAAAAGGGATTGTATATTATGAGACTATTTATCATTGCGGATTTACAAAAAAACAAAAGAAAGAGTGTTTACCATTGTTACAAGGAGGTCACAATCACTCATGCCCTTAGATGTCAAATTGGATGGCTTTGGGTATCTCATAAAGTTCGTTTTTTTTTTAATTTAAACTTTGAGTCTAGTCAATGACACACTCACAACCATCCGATTTAAAATATGATAAATAATAGTGATTCTGACCTCCTTGTACTAAAAGTAAATGAATCTGATTTAAAATGTGGACAAGAGTGAATGTGATTTCCTTGTACGAAAAGTAAATGGTTACTTTGTTGATGATTTCAAAATCTAACTTGAGCCTATTTATAGTCTTATACTTTTATATAAGTTCAAATTTATTTTTGTGATTCAAATTATAAGAACTAATAAGATCCCAATAAAAGAAAAGGGCTTGGTCGTTGTAGTAGCACCATACATCCTAGTCATCATGTTGTAGTTTTCATTTCCACTTCTACTACCCCAATAACATCTTTAAAGAACTACTCTTAAAACTATTTCAAAATATGGGTAGGGCCTGCATTATCCACTTAATTTGAAAAAAAAAAAAAAACAGAATGCCCTGCACATCTAAAAATGTTAAACACTAGATATATTTGTAACCATGCCTGCGTGATTGTCTTTGAATCTTTGCTCATGGCGCCATGTGACGTGGCCAAGTGCACAAAAACCCGGTTCGGCTGTGTTGATGTAGGAACCGAAGCAAACCACCGATCGAAAACTGCAAATTCCGACACTACTGACTTGTAAACCGGCACTGCTTCCGGCTTGAGGCCATTAATCACAGGCTGTGACATGTTCTTCTGTTCGGACTCAGCATGTTGCGCGAAACCATTCATAGGTGGATCACCGGAAAAGTCACTCGGAATTTCTCTGTTGATACCAAACATTTGCTCTCTAATGGCCTGGAACGAGTGTCCAGGATCCTGGCACACATATTCCGAATTGCTGCCAAAAAAAATCCGACCAGAATTGGGATCAGAAGTCGAAATGGGGTTCCATTCTTCGCCTGTGACACCATTGATTTCCGGATCGATAGACTTCATACATCCAAGCATGTGGTCGAAGGAGCGGTTTTCCTGCACCATAACCATAACCATAACCACTACGGTTTTGATGGGAGAAGAGGTGGTATTTGCCGCCACTGTTGCGAGTGGTTCCTGTTTTAGGGTGGTTTTCTATCAATGAAGGTTGTTTGGTGGGTTTTATATACAAGTTCCCTAGTCTAGCAAGTTAATTATTATAATTTTTAAACTTAATCTCAAAAAAATAAAAATAAATAAATAAATACTGTTTCTCAAGCTTATTGCAAATTAATTAATGGCTGCTTAAGCATATTGCAAGTTAATTCTTGCTACTTGATCTAATCCTAAGTCGATTATTATTTTTAACATGGTGGTGGATCAGAACATTGAACTAGTCAAAGACATGCCTTTTCTACTTCGTGTGGGCAAAGCTTCCCTTTTTTAGTTTTTACTTCTTCAAAGATGAGCTAATTTGAAGTTTTATGTCATTATTTGAAAACAATAATTATATACAACTTGTATTAGTAATACCTCTAATGTGTTGAAACCAGTGGTTTAAAAAATGGATCGGTGTCCCGGATTGAGCACCTAAAAAAATCCATCCAAATCGGTGAATCGACGATCCAGATCTGGAATCGGCCGAATCGGTAGGATTAAGTCTTAAAAAAATCCAAAAATTTTATTAAAATTCATTATAAATTTTTTTTTTAATAATCCAATAAGAAATGGGAGTACTATATTATTAACTTTCATGACAATATGCGAATATTGAGATGTTCATTCCTTATATGAAGATTCTCATCAAATATTTATTAAAATCTAACTAAAGACAATATTATACATTGAAATTAGAATTATTGGTATGTATTTTATTATTTTATAATTATTTTACTATACAAATAAAAATAAATTGGAAATTTGTCTTATAATATCATCTAATTTAAAAATCTAAAAATTTAACAATAAATTAGGAGAATAGGCCAAATTGGCAAATTTTGTCTCAAAATATTTAAAAAAAATCATTATTAATATTTAAAAATAGTGTTCTTTTAGTTTCTAAAAGAAATTAGAAGTGATGCAGTATGTATTCTCATTACTTTGTAAAAATAGATGAATATTGAGACATTATTTTCCTGTTTGGGTGCCTATATAATTATTAATTATAATATTATAATAAATATGATTTGAAAATTATTAGAAATCGATTCCATTTCTTTCTTTTTTTTTGGTCAAGTAATTCCATTTCGTAGGATTAAAAAAATAAAACCCCCTATAAATTTTAATGTTATGATATTAAAATATAAAAAAAATTACCCTAAAAAATAGAAAAAAATAAATACAATAAAAATTTTAAAAATTAAAAAGTAGCTTGTTTGCCACAATCCAATCGATGTTCATTGTTGTGACAAAAAAAAAAATGGCATGAAGTAGAAGAACTAGCTAGAGAAAGAAAACTATTTTGTAGCTTTTCCTTGTTATTGCCTTAGTCCAACTAAGCCTTTATACCCTCACTCTTAGCCCTTAGCCCTTAGCCCTTTATGTACTTGAAAAGCAAGCACGAATAGTCCCACAACCAATGATTAAAGCCATATAAAACTCGATCTCTTAGCCTCTCAAGAAATGCTATGTGCTCGTTATGGTGGTTGGTTGGTACTTATGGAAGAAATATACATTAAAATAATATAAATGGTGGGTACTGCAGGTAGTGGTGGCACGTGTAATAAATTTATATTAAAAAAATAAATTTTATATTAAGATAATATAGAAAACCCGGTTTTTCCAAATCCTGATATATGATTGGATTCGGATCGTTTTGGACAATATCATATCTAAATCGGGCGATTTTGATCATGAACGGCAATTTTTCAAACACTAGTTGAAACTGATAATTCTACTCATTTTTAAACAATTTTAATTCCCCTAAGCTCCATACTTGGCATCCACTGCCACCTTCCTTTTATTCCCGTCACGTATTGCCCTAAGTGAAGATAATTTTCCTTTGTTTTTTCTCCAAGTTCAAATAATTTTATAGTAAACTTTTTCTAAGTGTTATGCAATTATAAAAGGAAAATATGCATATCAATCTGTAAATGCTATAAGTTGCAAAAAAAAGGAAACTATAAGCTTAGAGAAACCTGTTAAGAAAATGTAGAACATTTTTTCTCTTCTTTTCTTTTCTCATTTCTCTGCAGATTTGCCTTATTTATATATCTCTTTTGGGAAACTTTTTTCTTGCTTTTTTTTTGTGAAATATCAAAGGTGTGTAGATATACTTAAGAAGTTACCTCACTTTGGCAATAACAATTGAATATGAATTAGCTTGATGTGTCACAGGAAACACATCACAAGAGGATAAACAGGATTCATTCACATAAAAGCATAAATTTTGTTTAATTATAGAGACCTTTTTTTCTTTTGGGGTGAGTAAGCAGGGGAGAGGGCCCCTACCCTTGGTAGGAATTGACTAGAACATAGCATTGCCAATCGTCAAGCACTAACCAATTAAGTCCAGGCTCTTTAGTTAACAATAATAGAATTCAATTATTTTGAATCAACTCTGCTGAGAGGTGTTGCAAGCAAGACAAGAAAACCACTTGTGAAAGAAGGACTTGGAAGTTGGTTCTTTGAGTAAGGATAAGAGAACGATCTCTGATTCATCCATTCCATTTTTCCGGGCTTCTTCGCAAGCTCCCAAGAACGTTGCTAATGCATCTTGCACGTATTTCGCAGCCTCCTTCACTGTCATATTCTCCACCATTTCATCAGGGTATGCGTCTTTATGATGGTCTCCATTTAGTTGGGCTGCCAATTGAACCAGATCCCCTTGAAACTCACTCAGTTTTGCATGTTCATTTGGTTTAGACTTCTGTGTTTTTTGTGGCTCATGAAGGGTAACTGCAAAAAATTAACTGCAGATGAGAAATATGACAATAAATATGCAATTCACTATGAATATGCATTTACCTTAATGGATGGTTGATGGAATGAAATGAAATCTTAGGATCATTCCCTGCCATTTTCGGATTCATAATCGTTAATTTCGTAATATACCACATACATACATACATTTTTGCATTACAGGTACACTTGCACACAGAGGCAGCATGTTAACATGCTTCATCTGATGCACTCCATGAATCCATGACTATATTTACAGCTGATACATTAAAATTCTCAGATTCATCACAAGAACTTGTATCATTGGAGGTGCACAGGCACACACAGTAACATGTCAAATGTGTAGCATTAGTTGGATGGAGCATTTCGGTCAAGGTTTTGAATTGCAGGGTGTAAATTTGAGACTAGAATGTCTTCATTGGTCATTTTTGCTTGAGAATATTCTTATATTGATTATCTTCTTTTCTTTAAAGATGCACTGTTGGGTGGTAAATTTCATGGATCATAAAGTGTGAAACATTACCAGGGCAATCAGTTCTTGGAGTGGTTCGGGTGTGGAGAATATGTTCGAAGGTTCCGGCCCAAGCATCTCTCTTAGTGAGGAAATCCTTGAGATTGAATATCTTCTTCACAGTTGCAGGGATGGAAGAATGTTCATATTCTGAAGTAGGGTATGGCCCTGAAGGCCTATGCACAACTGCGACCATAGTAAAAACAATCAAGATTTAGAAAAACAAAAAGTTTATATAGAGCCGGGGCTCTAAACAATAAAGAACTTCACTAGAAGTTATTGTTTTGATGCCCAAATATCCTCAAATTGATCATCTCGACATCAAGATGCATGGACGTGAAAAATAAATAGATTTCAAGTTTTGGAAATAGTGCATCTTGTATCACATTTTTGGACCGTCAATTTTCAAGATTTTTAAGTTTTCATAGATCTGCTCGATCTACATTATTTTTTAATATTTAAATTTATAATTAAATATAAAAATATATTTTAAGGCTATCACAAATATTTTCAGTGTTGAAACTACATTTCTCAATATTATTTAAAGGTATGCTTTAATTTGATTGTTAAGGGCCTTGGCTCTATACAAACCGCAACCTTTAGAAAATGTTGTCACAATGGTACAGACCAGGGTTCGAATGGAAACCTAGGAAAAGGAGAAATGGAAATGTGGAAATTTGAAAAAAGTGAAAATAGACCATTATTATATTAATTTGTATAAGGTTTCTATGAGTCGGCCGACTAATCTATTCATATGAGTCCTCCATCTGAAATCCCTATTAGAGATAGGTTTTGGATCCAAATAATTTAGGGTTGATAATCTATACCATTATGAACATGAATATTAAAAAGTTAATTTTAAAAGTAAAAATAACAATTTTTGATGTATTCTTTTAAACCGTTGATTTATAGCTTTTGGTGAACTTTTAACATTCATCTTTATTATGGATGCTAGCTGCGTCCACGGCATGTAGAAGAGCGTCCCTTGACGCATGCTATACTTTTCCTTTTAATTTGGCAACCAAAGTGCCGGGGTGCATGGCTGGTCCATTTAAAAAGAATGGTGATTTCAATGCTACCATTTTGATTTTCTTTAGCTGAACTAGCCAAAAAAATAAAGTACATGTTTTTTATAACGCAATACATTTTTTAAATGGAGAATTTTATATAAGGCGGCAGTTTTATTTGTATAAATAACATTGTTGTTGTCTATACTATCTATTTTAGTTGGACAGTATAGAACACCACGACCTTACTTCTACAAATAAAGTTGTTCCCTTATATAAACGATGCCTTTTTTTAAATATTTCTCTACTACCTTATCTATTTGTTATGTTGCCTTTCTCTCCTTCACGCCTTTTTTTTTTTGGGAAAATTATCAAAATGCACTTAAGAAATGAACAACTAAGCACTTTACCCTTTTTTGATTTAATATCAAAATGCCTATCAAAATACACATAATCATGAGTTGGAATATTTGAAAAAGGGTAAAATATTAACTACTTGATAAACTAGGTATATTTTAATAAATTTTCTTTTTTTATTTATTTGTTAAACGCCAATTTTTCTCCATTTTTGGCGGTTGTAAAGCAGATACAGGCTAGGGCTGAGAATTTACTGATCCTACCCAGAACCCAAATTTTGACCCGATCTAGATCTAGGTGTGGGTCCAAGATTTGGATTCGATGGGTCGGATCCGGATCCAAATCTTTGATCTAAATAGTAATTCAGATCAGATTAGGGTACAACTGGATCCTACATAAATATATATTGTATAGTGTTTTTTGAATATATATTGTATAGTAGGTTTTTGCTATATATTATTTTATAGATATAAAGTTATTTTACTAGATCTGATAGGGTCTGGATCCAGATATAGAGCCTATGTAAACTTTTTGGATTCGAATCTAGATCCTGGTGGATCCAGGCCCGATCCGACCTATTCTCAGCCCTAATATGGACCAATGCCATTCCGTTTCAACCATAGATATTTTTCGAACATTGGGAGATAGCACCTACCTGTGCCCTTTTCAATCCATGGGGAGATGACAATGGCGGGTACACGAACACCAAGCCTGTCGAATTTGAAATTGTAGGGTTCCCCCCCAATTAAACCATCAGGGTTCGGAACCCCTCTTATGGGGGTGGGTACGTGATCATAGAAGCCCCCATGCTCATCGTATGTGATAATGAATACCATCTCGTTCCATTGAGGGCTCTTCCTCAGTGCCTCGTACACCTCCTTCACAAACCTTTTTTTCATTTAACACCAAAAGAACAACATCACAATCTCAGTACTACCTTTTTCCACTTCTCTAATGCAAATATAAGGAGCATAATACTTGTGTTTTGTCTAGAAGAGAATTTTTGTGGCCCTATTTAAGGTTTTTTTTACTAATTCAGTGTTAGAATTCGAACTTGAGATGCAATATTGCTAACATCAGCTGCTAAGCTTTTCATTTTACAGTGAAGAAGTCTATCCAAACCAGCATAAAGCATGAAATTAGATACAAAAAGATAGATATATGTAAAATGATGTTAATACCCCTGGTTATAATTGACTCAGGACCCACTTAAATGGCCTTGAATCAAATGATAAAAATACTCTTGATTGTTCAGTCATAGAAAATAGAAAATTGTAAAATGATGTTAATACCCTTAGTTGTTCAAAGTTAGGTACACAGTATTCACTTTTTGATTGTAAACCCTTGTTCGGTGTTGCTAACTCCAAAAGATTAGGGGGACAACATAAGTTAAGCTAAATTACTAAAATGCCCCAAACTATTCACTATTCTCAATCTTGAATAAGGACACTTTTGTTATTCTTAGCTTTTTTGAGGATGTACCCGAGTGAAATAAGGTTTTAAAGGTAAATATTCTTTGTATCAAATGGGATAATTTGATCACCTTAATGATTTTGTAAGCTAGTTTGACCATTTATTTCATATTTTTCTAAAAAGAAGGAAGAAAATATTTTATATTTAATAAATGGATTGTATAATATGAAAACATTTACTTTTTGTATAAGGAGGTCACAATTATTCTTAACATTGGATTTGATATTTTATGGATTGCAGTGTGCCATAATATTTGAGAAACTTTGTTTTGGACATTGCCTAATTAATGACACATTCTCAACTACTTGATTTCAAGTCTAATGACCAATAAATAAGTCTAGCGACCAATAACAGTTATATTTTCTTGTACCAAAAGTAAATGGTTTAATTATATACATTTCCTTTAAAAAATCCGCAAAAATTGACTTTTGACCTAACCCCATCTCCCCCAACATTAAAATAAAGGACATTTTTAAAAACTTCCTATAATTTAGAGTTCTTAATCAAAGAAATGGCTTTAATTAAAAAAAAAAAAAAGGTGTTGTAATCTCATGGTGTGTATTGCTATACCAATGGGCCTGTGTATACTATACAAACGCTGATGGCTGTTGTGTGATGTGAAGGCAGTGTAGTAAAAGTACTGCGCCATTCTTACATTTTCGCAAAAATCTGTACTGGTACTGATCACGTGGGGGATACCCACCACTTGTTTGTATATTTTTTTGCCTTGTCTCTTGTAGGCAGGGGATGGCCCCATGTTGCGTAGGTGTGACAATAAGGCTGTGAATGTGAACCCACCTGGGTCCATACGAATGTGGGTATGGTTTGTAACTTTGTATAAGGTTTCGGCAAAGTAAGAAATATAAAAAAACGAAAAGATAAGGCCTCATTGTAAAATTGGAAAAAAAATTTCGGAGCATGACGTAGTATTGGAAAATTTTTCTGTGGGTACATAATTTTCCTCAAAAAGGGAGTGGTAAGCATAGTAATTCCTGATATTTAATTATCTCTCAAGAGATAATATTCTATACGACATGGTTTTTATGAGTCCACTGGCTCATATGTAGATATAAGTCCTCACTTTATGATCCATTTTTAAGATGAATTTTAAAGCCAATTTTTTAGGACTATATAATATCTAATATGGAGATTACTAATATGCAGAAAATAAAGTTTCTTGAAGAATAAATTTTTTTTTCTTATTTTTGATGAAGGACTACTTTACATTGATCTTTAAGATGGTTGGTTGTAAAAATGTAGAATTGTGTCCCCCAATCGCATGATACACTTTTCCTTTTCTTTATTTAGAAAGACATTTAATATGCTCTGGTGCTTCTTCTAAGTTGTCTTGGTCGAATCCGAACTGATGCTATACAAAGGAATAAAAAAGATTTGGGAATAAAGAAAAGTGAGACATAAAAGTTAGAGCCTCCTCCAGTTGTGATCAATCATGAAATCTAATTTGGCTCTAAAATTCAAAATATTCCAGTTGCTTTAAGATATAACATACTTTTAAAGATTAGGAAATAAAACAATTGTAATATATAATTCCCTTTCGGTGTTTTCAATATGCCAATAGAGCCGTATAGCAATAAAATGTAACTAAATTGGTCCTAGTTACTCTTTAAGACTGAGTGAAAGAAGGGAGGAGATTCTCGAATGAGAAAAAAAAAGAAGAGAAAGTATCTCTATACTCTCCATTTTTAAGTTTTATTATCTCCATATACTCAATGTTTTAAAACATATATTGGGTCATAAAAATTCTAAGTTTTATATCTTTTAACCCTATAAGCTAACTTTATCCCCTTTAAACTTATTTTTTTGCTCCAAACAAATATAAAAAAGATATATCCTTTCTAAAGGACATCCTTTCTCTATTCACATGATTTTTTCTTAAATCTCTCTCTACCTATTTTCCTACTCTCTCCCGTCGTGTCTCTTTTTTCCCCACTAGAAAGACAAAGAGAATGAGTGTTAGAGAGAGAGAGATAAATTTGAAGGAATATATCACATAGAGAGAGGAAGGGTTTAGAATGAATGTTCTTTTTTATATTTATTAGGCCTAAAAAAATAATTAAAAATGGGTAAAGTTAGTATGTGGTTTAGAAGATATACTTTGAATTTTTAATTCTAATTAGATATGAAAACAATAAATAGGAGGTAAAGAATATTTCCCAAAAAAAAATCTTATTCGAAACGACGAGTTGTATGAGGTGAAAATCTGAATGGTGTAGTAGAGTGACGCAAAAGAAAGCTTCTTTGTCAACTTTTCCACTATTGAAGTTATGGAAAAGGGTTGTTTCGACATTGAATAACCCTCAAATTGATATGAAATAAGAAAAAATTATTTGAAGTCTTAGAATAGAGAATCTTGTAACACGTATTTGAAACATCTACTTTCAGACTATCATAAGTGTTTATGGAGCTAGATCTACATCTTTCATGAGTGTTTATAGAGCTAGATCTACATCTTTTGATGGAGTTTGGAGCTGCGCTTTACTTTGATTGTGCTGAGCCCTATTTGGAAACTGGCCCTATTTGGAAACTAGCCTTAAAGTGGTAGTTGTATTAGGGTTATACTATTTACTTTTGATACAAAGAGGACACATTCATTTTTAGTTAATATATGTGAAATCCAATAGATTAGATTATACCACAACATTAGAGAAGTTTTATTTTGGATTTTATATCCAATCAATTACACATCCTCAACCACCGGATTGCTTATTTCATATCCATCATATTTTCAGATCCAACAATCAATAATGATCGCGACTTAATTATATCAAAAGTATATATCAAAAGTAAACAGGAAAAGTTTATATTGAGCTGAGGCTCTAAACAATCAAATTTGAGCCTACCTCAAAAATTTAATTAGAAAAGGTTATTTTGATACCCAAATATCTTCAAATTGATCATCTCGACATCAAGATGCACGGACATGGGTTGTAAGTTTTGAAAATAGTGTATTTTGTAACGTATTTTTGGACTGATAATTTTCAAGTTTTCATAGATACGTTGATCTGTACTATTTTTGAAGCTTTAAAATTTATAAATAACTATAAAAATATATTTTAAAAATATCACAAATATTTTCAATATTGAAATCACATTTCTCGAAAAAGATAGGCTCTAATTTGATTGTATAGAGCTCAGGCACTATACAAACGGCTCCCAAACCCAAAGTAAATAGTCTGATTGTATTAAAAAAAGCAAAGAAAAAAAAAAAAACACTAAAAGACTGCATTAAACAAGCCCAAACCCGCACAGATCACAGGTAAGAAGGGCTTCAGCTCAGAGAGAGAACTCAGATGCAAAAAAATATCATGGCTAGATAACGACACGCCTCAAGTATATGAAAGTAGAGAGCGACACGCCTCAAATATATAAGTGAGAGAGAGCAGGAAAGTGAGTGATAGAGAGCAGGAAAGCGTGTCAAGTACCTTTGGCCCTCGGACACATCATGAGAAGGATGATCATCGTTGCCATGTAAGATCTTCAGATCAAACCAACGCTGCTCTATAACCACATAGTTCGCGAGTTTCCCCTGCTCACAATCTCTCTTGAACTCCAAATCGAATGGCCGGAAATTGCCGACGTACTTGAGCTTTCTCAAATTCTTATAGAAGAAAGTGGAAGGGGGATACTGATAATATATCCTGAATGTGTAACCGGCCTCATCCAAGGACTCGAAAATGGTCTTTTGAGGGAAACCCTGTACCCACCCATGGTCCATACTTTTTTCTTATTAACGGTGGAAAAAGAGTGGTTATAAAAGAGATACAGTATTATTTATCACCATACCTGTAAGAGCTTCTTCGAGTCGTTACTCATGGCCCCATGTGATGTAGCAGAGTGCACATAAAGCCTGTTCGGCTGGGTCGATGCCGGAACCGAAGCAAACCACCGATCAAAAACCGCAAATTCCGACACTAGTGACTTGTAAATTGGCACTGCCTCTGGCTTGAAGCCATTCATCACAGTCTGTGACATGTTCTTCTGTTCGGACTCAGCTTGTTGTGCAAACCCATTCATGGGTGGATCACCGGAAAAGTCACTAGGAATTTCTGCATTTACCCCAAATATTTGCTCTCTGACGGCCTGGAACGAGTGTCCGGGATCAGGGTTCACGTACTCCGAATTGTTGCCGAAATACACACGGCCGGAATTGGGGTCGGAAGTCGATAGTGGGTTCCATTCTTTGCCGGTGACCCCATCGATCTCCGGATTGATAGACTTCATCCATCCCAGCATATGGTCGAAGGAGCGGTTCTCCTGGACCAAAACCACCACGGTTTTGATGGGCGAAGTAGCGGATGCCGATGGCATATTGCCGGTTCCTGCTCCAATCCCGTATCAACTCTGCTTTTCAAGTAGCGTGACATGTTTGGATCTGCAGAAATGTATTATATATAGGAAAGTTGTTTCATGCAGGCTGGATTGCATTTCTACATATGCGTTCCAGCAGTGTAAAGCATCCATTTAAAGATTGATGCAAGTAGGTGAAACTAACGGTGAAAATGTTTTTCTTTCTGTAATTATTATTTTTGGTTTTAAAAATTTATTTATTTATTCATATTCATGATTTCTGCGTTTAGAGATTATACGTCTTCAAAAATTAAGACTTAAAACCCATCTCAAAAATAGAGTTAATAAGAGGCCGCATAGAAACCGGATTCATATATAACAAATGGATCACCACTAAAGTATTTGGTGAGTTTGGCCGACTCACTTATTTTTGCGCGGTCTCCCTCTGAAATACATTTTAAAGGCATTATTTTTACCCAAAATTTTGAGATTCGATAATATCAACCACGATACTGAGCTAATTTGGAGTTTTTATTTTTCAAAAAAATATGAATATTATTTTCTGAATTCCTTTTTCTCCAAGGTCCAGTGGAGAGTCCATTTGATAGAGAAGGAGTTATAGGGGGTAGGTTTAATCCCTGGGGTGTTTGGGTTGGCGCAAGAGGCATATTCTTGGATATGGCCACGTTTAAGGCTTGCACGGAAGGCTAAGTAGTTGGTTGTTACAACGTCGTGTAACTTGATGGTTGAGCAAAACATTTGTATTGGCCGAGGACTCCCTTTCCTTATCCAAGCCCAGATGAGGATAACAAGAGTGGTTGGAGAGAATCCCGGATGAGGCGAAGAGATATCAGCTTCCAAGCAAACCCAAAAGAGGCAGAGGCAGAGGCCGAGGCCTTACTCTTTGGCCTTTGTACCTTACAAAATTGAGCAAATTACTTTTCGAGAGGAAGTCAATTAACATAGGGAAAAGTTTATACCTCTAAAACAATCCAATTTTACCGCAAAAATATTTCATTTGAAGAGGTTGTTTTGATGTCTAAATATCCCCAAATTGATCATCTTGACATTGACATGAGAAAATAATAGATTTCAAATTTTGAAAATAGTGTATTTTATAACGTATTTTTGGACCGTCGATTTCTAAGATTTTTAAGTTTTCATAGATCTCTCGATCTACATTATTTTTTATGCTTTAAACTTTATAAATAAAGATAAAGATATATTTTAAGGCTAACCAAAAGATTTTTAGTACTGAATTCATATTTTTAGATACTATTTGAAGGTAGGCTCTAATTTGATTGTTTAGAGCCTAGGCTCTATACAAACTGCACCCATTAACAAATTGGAGAGCATTCCTGTAAAATTATCAGTACCACCCCTCCTCCCACATGTCTGTTTTTCTAAGTTGTCTCTTTAACTCTATTACACACATCCTCCCACATGTCTGTTTTTCTAAGTTGTCTTTTAAACTCTATCACAGACGCACCGTTCCGTATTTTGAATTTTGAACAACTCTTTTTATTTTGAAAAAAAATAGCGTTCTTCCTATCTAGTGTTGTATAATCAAGAAGGAAAAAAAAAAAAAACTAGTTGGAGGTGGGGGTGGTGCTTGTAGCCTTGGGCAAATGACTCTCTGCCAACATTTAGATCCGGCTCTACCTAAAATTTTCTGGTTCACCATTGACGTCTCAAAAGTCTATGCATGTAGAAGTTTTCTCTAGAAATTTCATGTGACGATGTGAGTATATACAAGCTTTGGAGAGTGAGGCACGCAAGTGTTACTGCAAAGAGAGAGTTTCTGATGTGGGAGAGTGAGTATTTGGTGGATGATTTAAATAGGCGATCGGTATTCTTACTGGTACAGATACATACCTTGTTGCCCTGAGATAGAGCACCATCATGCATAGACGTGTTTTAAAAGAAAAAATCATTAAAAGGATGATGCGAGTTGTTGTTGGCAAGAGTGGAAAAACTTGAGATAGCGTACAGGATTGGTACAGTCGCAGTTTCCCCTCGTAGTGATGAGGTCATGATTTGTTACATGGGAGACGTGCTTATTGCATCATGCCATACACTAGTACACACTCTAGTCTTAAGAGTCATTTTTATTGTTAACTGAATTTTAATTCATCGTTTGAAAATTGTAAAAGTTTGTACGAGGTGGCTATTAGGGGTGGCAACGCGTCAGGTCCAGTTGGACTTGGACTTGGACTCGGACCTGAATAGCAGTCGGGTCCAAAATTTGGATCCACCTATTGGGTCCCGGGTCTATCTGTCAAGTCTTGGGTCTATTCGGATCCATTGCTACCCCAGGACTATCAGATTTTTTTTTTACCCTTTTTTTATCATCATATACCCTATGATTACGAACTTTTTTTTGCCAATAATACCATAAATGTTGCCAATATTGTGACAATGGAAAAGTTTATATAAGGTTGCAACCTTGAAATGTAGAATCACATATGCCCCTAAAAAATCTATCGAAAATGTTGTTTTAATGTTGAAAAAACACTCTAATCGATCATCTTGACGTCGAGATGTATGGATATGAAAAAAAAAGTTTTTGAGTCCCATAAATGGTGCATCTTGCGACAACATTATCTAGACTATCTATTTTCAAGATTTTCATATATTTATAGATCTACTTAATTTTAACTATTTTCGAAATTTAAAATTTTCTAATTAGGTATGAAAATAGATTTTAAGATAATATTAAGAAGTTTTCACAAGAAATTTACATGTTATAATAAAATTTTATGGTGCGCCTTAATTGGATTGTTTAAAGTTGCAACCTTATAGAAACAGCACCCTTGTGACAATATGAACACCTAGCACATACCTAAAGACACATGATTGTCATCATATACCCTATGATTACGGGTATGGGTATGGGTCGGGTACATGTCGGGTCGGATCGAGCTGGACCTTGACCAAAATAGTATTCAGGTCCAAAATTTTGGATCCATACCCAGACCCTAGGTCGGGTATACCCGTCGGGTTCTAAGTTTAGTTGGTTCCAATGCCACCCCTACTGTCAATATATATTAGTAAAAAAATAAAGCACACCTAAAAATCCAATGGGAAAAGATTGTTCCAATATTGGAAATTCTCAAATTGATTATGTTGATTTCGGGATGAAAGGATATTAGAAAAACGATGTTCAGGTCACAAAAATATGTGTCTTGTAAAGCATTATTTGGTCCATTCATTTTCAAGATTATCACATGTTTATATATTTACTCGATCTACTATTTTATCGGAGTTTTAAAATTCATAACTAGAGATGAAAATAAATTTTTTGGTCATTATAGGTGGGGTGTTTGACACCAAAACTGCATTTTTAATAGAGTTCGGAAGTGCACCTTATTTTGATTGTTCAAGGTTGACATACCTTTCAATTTAATATACGTTCGAGTGCGCAATGGTTGAGTCTATGCACAATAATAAGTTGTTTGGATCCTAGCATATGCAAAACCAGCTTTTGTATTGAATCCTGAGTATTAACCAGGATTTAGGTAGCTTGTACATAAGGGAAAGGTTTCTATATTATTCCTACGGCATAAAAGATCTATGCTTTTCCTACTATCCAGCAGTCCAATTTTGATCAAGAGAGCCACTCACTGTTTGATCTTAGATCTGATTTATCAAAGTATTTTATTTTTAGTTTTTTTATAAAAATTGTATGAGTATGAAATTTGATACGTGTCATCTTCTCATTGGGGCACACCTATAAAAAATATTAAAAATAATTTTTCATAAAATATAATGACCAAAATACCGTTTGAATTTTTCAGGGGTATTTTGGTCAATTTATTTTATTGAAAATATTTTTTATATATTTTTCTCCAGTGCGAGTTTAATAGAAGATTAGACATATAAAATTTGGTATCAAAATAGTTTATAGAAAAAAAATTAAAAATAAAATAGTATAGAGATGTGACATTGTGATTGGGGCAATCTTAACCCTCCATTCTGAATGGATGGTTGGATAAGGAGAAGTATATAAGTTTTATGTGGTAGAGAGCATAAAAAGCTTGCTCTCTACATAAACCCACTCTATGACAAACTCCTTATTTGGGTCATGTAGTTGTAAAACCTGGTTTCGCCAAATTGCTACTAACACAATTTCGCCGTTCATTACAAAAATAATTGATTAGATATTGATATGTATCCAATTAACACTATTTATTACAAAAAGTCCATGTATAATATGCTGAACAAATTGGACGGTTCGAATCATAATTCGCAGAACCTTCATTGTTCAATTTAGTATGTGTGGTTGTCGATGTGTATGTGTGTGTGCACGTGTGTGTCTGTAAATACAAAATAAATAAATTGATATGAAATAAAGACAATAGTCATTATTTCTTAGATAAAAGTAATGAAATATATGAATATTTCCTAATACTTGAATATGATTCGCTACAAATCCCATAAAGAAAATAAGGACTTAATCCTTCACATGAACATGATTTTCCACCACGGTTTACCCATCAGATGTTTCATCCCCAAAAATAAGATCCATAATATGGATATGAAGAAGAATGTTGTTCTTTTGAAACCTTTGATACTAAGTATTTATTTGTAAATAACAAGAAAAGATAAACCTTTGATGCTCAAATGACCTATAAAATTTATCTGTACATCTACTATTTATACTAATTAATACTCATTCGTATATGTCTTTTACCAAATCTTATAGATACTAATTTCTTTTTCAAATTAATTTTCTAGGTACACTAACATATGCTTTCTCTAAATCATTAAAGATCAGGTGAAGGTATTTTTTCTTCTCTTTAAACTTTGGAATAAATTGCCTAACTCGGAAAATAGCATCAATTATGGACTTCTTTGGAATAAAATCAAAATTATTTTTTAATACACTTGTTTCATGTTGTAGTCGTTAAATCACTCTTTCCCAGATTTTCACATTGCGGCTCATAAATTTGACCTTTATAGTTCGTATAACTCCATATATCTCATTTGTTCTTATAAGATAAAATTACATCCGGACACATTTCGTCTCATTTGTTCTTATAAGATAAAATTACATACGGACACATTTCGTGCCTATTTATTACCATATCGTTACCTTTTTGGTAAAAATTACGAGGAGCGCCCCTCCTCAGGGTACCATTTTTGTTTTTCTGAATTGCCCACATGTCCGGCAATGACAATATTGGATAAGTGAGGAACCTAGCCCATAGTGCTTCAAAACTGTATTAAGCCAAAAAGATTTCCTACTATTACAGAGTATACTATTCATTTACTACCTCGGCCAAAACACATGTTAAGGATACTTTTTAAAGCTCATATTTTGGAGATGTAATTTCTATAATTCATGCACTAATCTTGACAAATGTTTTGAAACAGACTCTATATACTAGAAAAAAATAATGCCTCAAAGATAGAATAAAGACTGTCTAATTTTTAAATAGCTAGATCTAAGTGTTACTCAAAATTCAAAATTTTTCTTTTGAGAATAATCATCTAATGATTTTCATGTGGTTCCCAAAATTTTAAACTAAAAAATTCTTCCAAAATAGGTGTCTTGAGCGAGGGAGTAGATACACAATATGCTCCTACATGAGCATAATATATATGCTCTTGTATTAATATGCAAACGACAAAAACTACAATAGAAATTGTGTATAGTGGTATAATACTTTTTCTCCATTCGTTTGACATTTTGTTTGTTATCAAAATCTCATTAAACAACTTGGTCAAGAAGAAAATGACAAATATACAATAAAAATGGTGAGGCCCTAAACCATCAACATAAGACGCACCTTCAAATATTATTGAAATATGTTGTTTTAATTTTGAAAATATTTTTGATGGCCTTGAAATTGATTTTATCTTTAATTATAAAACTTAAAAGCTTAAAAAATAGTATAGATCAAGCAAATCTATGAATATTTGAATATCTTGAAAATTGATGGTCCAAGAAAAACATTACAAGACGCATTATTTCCAAGACATAAAATCTGTTTTTTCTTACGTTCACACATCTCGAAGTCGAGATGATAGATTTGATGAGTTTTGGGCATCAAAACAATCTCTTCTAATAAATTTTTAAGGTACGCCTTAATTTGATTGTTTAAGGCCTCACAATTATATAAAACTTTTCCAATATTAATTTGGATCAATGTTTAAAAAATCATCGATCCAGATAGGAGTCGTCCGATCTAGATCAGAGTAGTCCGATCAAGATCGAAATCGTATTGAGCGAATTGAATCTTGTAATACTGGTCCTCTGATGGAGAACTGGCCGGTTCTTGAGAGAACCACTACTTTCTACTTTTTTTTTTTTTACAGTTCTTTCAATTTGCAATTCTCAAAAAATTATTTTTACATAAAAAATAGACATGGCCCATCCCACCAACCTTTTATGTTAGCCATATACATGACATCCTATCCCACATGGTCCACACCATCTTAAGTATTTACGTATTTTGACCATAAAATGAATGCTTTTAGTGTTTATGTATTTTTAGTAAAATAATAAAATTATAATGAAATACTGTTATTTTTTTTGGAAAACCTAAAAAACAATATTTGTAAGCAATTCTAGTGATTTTTTTGACTTTTTTTTAATGACAGCTCTTGCGGATGTGACCTATTTTCTTATCAGCGTTAAAATTTATTTTCAACTCTAATTATAAAATTTAAAGATTAAAAAATAGTGTGACTCGAGCATATCTACGATACTTAAAAATTGACGGTAATATTATAAAATGCATTATTTCGAAGAATTGAAATCTATTTTTCCTTATGTCCGTAGATCTTGAATTCAAGATGAAAATAACCTCTTTAGTGAGATTTTGAGGTGCGCCTTAATTTCATTATTTAGGGCCTCATCCTTATATCGTTAACGTTTATGTAACGGTTTCATACCAGAATGAATTGGTCGTTGGGTTTGGAGCATGTGCTTCTATCTCTCTCCACTACCGTCCGCCATTTCATCGGGCGTTCATGATCGCAAGGGTCCAAACTACATTGATCATGTCAGAGCTTTACTAAACTTACAGGGAGAAAGAGGCAGTCCCACTAATGGATAAGATTGGTTCTGCCCACCTGCTCGTTACTTTATATATTAAGCTTTGATGGGGGAGAGAGAATAGAGACTGCAATTCAGCAAGTTTAGAGAGAGATTCAAATCAGCCGGTTTTCTTAGAGAACGATGAAGAAAGTGGAGGTGTTTTTTTTGGTGGCTCTGTTAATGCTGTCTGTGCAAACAACGGGGAGAGCGGATGCACCTATTTGGTGCTATGATGCCTGTACCACTGGATGTGTTTTTCGGAGGAATGGTAAGCCCTCATTTTATAAAAAGGCCCATTTTTTTTTGGCTTTTTTAAAGAATTTATTTCTCTATCCATTCTTTTTTTTGTTGGAATTACAACGATGAACGTTTTACATTTCTCTATGAATTCACTCTCTGATTTGCAGCACGCCTACGAGCTCGCTGCAAGCAAAAGTGCAGAATCGAATGCGACATTGGTCAGTATCTCGACTGATCTCTCTCTAAAAAACTAGGGTTTATTTTGTTATTTGTGTTTTGTCTGTGCAGGTGCTCGTGGTTGATGAAGGCGGTTCACTTATCAATAATCATGAACTTTTTTTCTTTTTTATCTCTTTGTATTTAAACTTTCTTTGGATGCGGAAATCGATCTTGGTTTGAGGTGGAGAAAGAAGCACATGTAAGTAAGAGTGGATAATGGTTCGGAATTAGTGGTTCCAGGATATTTTGAAGGAATCAATAAGTGGTTAAAAGAAGATCGTCAGAGCCTTTTTCCTAATCTTTTGAGATCGGTTAAAGAATATTTCAAAGAGAGAGAAACAAAGGTTGAATAAGTTTTTTTTTTTTTAATTTCTCTTCTATAAACACCCGATTCAGTTCACTGAAATGTCTCAAGATTAGGTGTTCTGGGTTTAAGTAAAAAAGAGAGCAAATTCTCACTTGGCAAACGGTTCCTAGCTTTCACTCTATATATTTTTGTGTGCATTTTCTTTTTGTTTTCCTACTTATTTTTTTGGGTTCGCCGCATTTTCCGTGGGAAACCTTTTCTATATTGCGCTGCCCATATATTAAAAGTACCTAACTACCGACATAAATATGTTAAATTTTAAATAGACAATTATTGGGATTTGCATTGAACAGGGTAAGAACATGGGTATATAGCATGCTATGAAGACCAACTCAGATCCGTTGGTCCGACCAGTAGACAAATACTTTTTAAGATACTGTCAAATCTACATGATCCAATTAAAATCAATCGTTATATTTCTCTACAAGGTCATTGCTTTATACGATTTTTTTCATTAAAAATGACATATATATCGATTTTATAAATATTCCTTAATCTTGATAAATAAAGAACTAATAAAACCCCAAATAATTATAAAACATAAAAAATATTTTATATATAAAAAAATTTATTTCTGATTTTATATTTTCATTTTTTCAAAATAATAGCTATTACTAATAAAATTTTCAAAAGCTATACAATTGTTGCTCTTTGTATGAAGTGATGTCCTATACACCTGGAATTTAAGAGATTATGGACTGTCGGCATCCTTTACTCTTATTTTTAAGAGATTGATAGCATAAGACCATTCAATTGTGGCATAAGGAGGTCGCGATTATTTTTAGTTATTGGATATAAAATCCGACATACTAAAGTGTGTCAATGATGTTTGAGAAATTTTATTTTGAACTTTATGCATAATTAATAACTTATGAAGCATTCTAACCACCCGTTTACATTTAATAGTCAACTAAGTTGTATGCCCGTGTGTTGCAGGTGATATTTAATATTAATCATTGAAATATAATATTATTGAAAAGTTTCAATAAAACATGATCTTAGAGAGAGAATTTAATGCATTTATCTTCATAATTGAATATTGTATTAATTAACAATAAATGTGATAGTAAATACTACTTTTAATATATTATTAATTAACATGAATTCATTTGACATACAATTAAAATAATAAAAATCATTTAAAAAATAATTTAAATTATATAAATAAAACTAATAAATAAATATATGCATGGTCTTGCTAATGATAATATCCAATATATTAGTTTAAGACATTAGATCATATTAATTCCTATATCTAATATATTAGTCCATTAGTCCTATATCTAATATATTAGTACATGCTAATTATAAGCAAAAGAGTGATAAAGATTTATTATAAGCAAAAGAGTGATAAAAATTTATATACATTGATCAATACCTAATTTCAAAAATAAGATAGGGGAGAGAGATTTAGGGTTGAGAAATAACCTGTTGCAATGCTACAATGTCAATGCCAGAAATTATTCGAGCTCAACAATATACTTCTTCATTTTGAGAGTGAAAAAGCTTAAAGAGAAATCATAGAGAGACAGGTAGAGTAACAGTAGAGAGAGGGAGAGTTTTCAAAAAACCGTATATAGAGAGAGAAGAGAGAAATTTAATATGATATAAATAAGAGAGAGAGATTTTGGGTGGGAGAGAGAGAGAAGAGGGTAAAGAAGAGTTACGTAAATGGGGAGAGAAAGAAGACGGATAAGAAAAGAAATGACATGTGTTATTCTTTTTAATTAATTTGAGAGATTTAATTGGGGGAGAGAGATTGGGTTAGAGAGGTTATCTTATAATTAATTTGAGAGATTAAAATGGGGAAAAGAGATTGGGTTGGAGAGGTTATCTTCTATAATTAATGACAATTAATGCGAGAGTTTAACATTTGGGGGAGAGAGGGAAGCGTGAGGGGTAGAGAGGAATTACGTTAATGGGGAGAGAAAGGGAGAGACAGGGATGAGAGAGATAAGGGATGGGCATGGGATGAGAGAGATAAAAGATGGGCATGAGATGACATGCATATATATGATAATGAATGCAACCGTTTAACATCTTGGGAGACAGAGAAAAGAGAGAGAGGCATGAGGAATAGAAAAGAGTTACATGAATGGAGAGAAGAAGGGAGAGAATGGATGAGAAACAAAAAGGATGGGCATGAGGTGGCATGCACAGGCATGTGAGAGATCTGGGGAGAGAGAGAAGATAGAGCTAATAATATGGTGGGACACGTGGCACAAAAATAAAGAAAGTGTTGCTATCGTTTAATATATAATAGAAAATAGATAGATAATGATTTTGGCTTCTTTGTATAAAAAATATGATCTTATTATATACATTTCCAAATAAAATATATACTTCTTACCCCCACATGTCTTCATGAACCCAAAACGTAAGAACAAAATGTTGAGTTTATAGTGGGAAGGGTTGGCAATGGGCCAAGAGGCCAGGTCAGCCTGGCCGTAAAAAAGTAGGGCTTAAGCTAACTCGGCTTGGTCCTCCTTTTTTTTTTTTTTCTCTTTTCTTTTATCCTTCTTCATTTGTTTTTTGCCCAACTAGCCCAGCTCAGCCCGGCCCTAATAGAGCCGCCATATAAGGACAAGGGCTAGGCAAGGGCCAAGGCTTGGCCCGGCCCGTTGCCACCCTTAATATTGAGCAATGTATGTACGAGTCTAATCAGAGAGACATGCCGACACGAGAGACAAAAGCAAATCTAAAGCACCTGTGTAACAGTGATTTTTCCTCCATTTGTCCCCTCATCTTGAGAGATTTTGTTGCCTTGAGTGCCATTGATCTTCCAAGAATTCCTTGTAAGATGGACCATAATGTTTGCCAACTCATGTGGCTCCTCGGTTATTTCCTCACTAATCTAACATCCTCACTTGCCTGGGGTCATCTGAAGTGGGTAAGTAGTCTGGAGACATCTCCAAAAGACTTGGATTTGGATTGAATAGAGGTAAAGGCTTCTTAGGCAGCCCAAAGGTAGCATTGCGTACTCAAAGAATGGAAATGGTAGCACATAAAGAAGATGTGTTCTTCATTCAAAGGGGATTTGGAACTTAAATTCTGTTGTGAGATATGTTATTAGTTCACTTAAGCTAATAAATTTAATAGGGAAAAACTCAAAATCAAATATTTTGCAAATTAAATTGTAAATCTAAATTTTTGTACCAACATTCAGTTCCATTCATGATTTTCACTTTAATGGTTCATCTTTTCAGCATGGATGCAATCCTGAAATCCAAATAATTTCCTGAACCCAACTCACCTATAAAAAAGCAAAATAACCAAAGTACTACTGTGTGCGTCATATGCATCTTCAAAGTGTACACATGACACACCAACAGGCGCTTACCGGTGCGACATGCTGTGGTTCAGTTCACTTCATTGGAGTGTGCCACAATCATAATTTGTATGCTCAAGCAATGGTCCCAATCTCACCAATTTGGGGACCACAACATTATCTCTAAGGAAACACCCCACCCCATTCTCCCACTGTAAAAGAGAGCCGACCAGGTTTGAACGTACAGCTAATGGAAACACACGACCCCATCTCTCTCTTGTGTATGCTTCGAGAGCTTGATCCACACTCGAGCCACCAAAGCCATTGACTTCAAGTGCTTTAGCAAGATTCCTTGAGAGCACGATGGCATCTTCCAATGCACAGCATGCTCCTTGCCCAAGGTTTGGAGTCATGGGGTGCCATGCATCCCCTGCCAATGCCAAGCCATGCGCTGAACCTGGTGGGCTAACCAGAGGCCAGAGCCACCGGTCCACTAAAGGGGTCTTGATAACCCCTTCATCAGGAGTCTTCTCTATAATGTCCAACAGCTCTTGAGGCCAGCTTTGCACCAGCTGTAGCGCTTCCTTCTTCAGTAAAGTTGGGTCACTGGTCCTTGGGCCTGTTTGGATAAAATTAGTGTGTGCTTCTTCACTGAAATCAGCAGCACATAAGAATTCAGCAAATTTTTGTTTCATGGAATTTTTTCTTAACATCAGCTTTTGGTTTCTAGACCCATTTCCCTTCTCAAGTTATTCATCTCTTCAATTTGAAGCTCTCAGAAAATCAAAATCAGTTGAAGAATTTTCCAGATTTAGCAACTAGCCAATGATTTACTCATTCAAATGATAAGTTGTTTTTTTCTCTCACGTTTTGAATCATCAGCTGATTATTATTGACTAGAGAAGTACACAATACATGATATAGATGTGCAGTGGAACATGCAACAGTGTACATATGTTTGATTTATTTGAATAGAAGATCTATTAAATAAAAAACTGATGTGCCTTTCCTACGAATATGAATTAGAAAAAGTGAAAGGGAGCAAATTTGAATTATAACATACAAATATCCAATGTAACTATAGAAAAAAATAGTACATTGGTATCATCACCTTCCGATGTGATTGTGATAGAGAGAGTAGGACAAACCATAACAGGACATGACCCCCACAATGGCTCCCAATCATCTAAAATATACATCATCACCATCCTTGAATAGATGGTGATGACCCAACTGGCCTATGTTCTTCCATAGTCCATTAACTGTCCTTGCAATGGATGGTGATGACCCCAAGAGACTATGTTTATCCATAGTCCATTGGTTTAAAATGTACTATCCCAATAGATAAACCGGGAAAAGGATGTAAACTCTAAATTCAGTTTGCAGTTAATTGATAAACCTGGAAATGGGTTGTTGAAGCAGATAAACCAGTAAACTTTGGTAGAAGAGAGAGGGACATAACCAGCACGCAAACCACTTCCATAAATGTAGTTCACTTTAGGCTCAAATGAATGCCCAGTTTGGTATTCTCCAAGCCCTCGAAATGCACATTGCCCAACATAACGAGGTTCTGAGAATCCCATCCATTTTGCAACAGGTGATTGGACCCCATCACAGCCAATTAGAACCTAACGTATATAGCTAGTCAAGCTATTTTAAACTCGAAACTAAAGAATAAAGTAAATCAAGCAAAACCATAAATGATTTTTATTAAGATTATCAGCAAACTACCTTAGTGGGAATCTGTCGACCATCATCAAGTACAACTAAAGTTTCACCACTCATGGTCTTATCAATTGTTGATACCCTTGAAGAGAAACAGATTGCATCTTGTGGCAATTCCCTAGCTATCATTTCCAAAAGCACCCTCCTTTCCACCCCTCGAACTTCTTGACTACACAAGAAGCATTACATTATTACACAAACTTACTGTTTTATATACGCCAGAAATGGCAATAGTTAACAAGGGACAAGATGAGGCCAGAAGCATGGGTATGAAAAATATGAAAGCTACTCAAGAGTTTGGCTTTGAGTATTTCATTACCTGAAAGCTTCATCCTTGAATTGGAAAGATCGCAGCTCCCTCCCAGATTCAGTTTTGATGGTCATTCTGCAAGAAAACTACCCCATCAAGAAATAGCATATTAACAAGGTAGCTTATGAGCAAATCAAGTTATCTAGAAACGACCTATGTTGAAGCCTCAAGCAAGCCTGAGGACTTGACAAATCAAAACATGAGTGGGTTTCAGGTACCTAACATGAGAAATTATCAAGGGAGAGAGCCCTGGTGCATCAACAGGTGAGCTTTGAGGGCAGCTCATGGTCAAAGCATTTGCCATGTATGTGACTTCCGAAGATTTCATTCGGGAGAAGAATTTCTTTCCAGTCGTTACATCAAAAGATGAACATGAGAAGATTTCATATGAAAATAGAAATTCACAAAAAACATTTGAGAAGATATAATGGAGGCCCTTGTCAAAAGCAGGGGTACAATCTCTCATAGTAAAAGACACATAAAACCAATGCTCTATGCTAACATGGTAGTCCTGCAAAAAGAGCATGGATCATCAATGTCCTTCAAAAAGAGCAGAACCAATGGATCATCCAATTGGTCCCTTTCTGTTCTCTCTCTCCACTGTTTTGCTCCCTTTCCAAATTCAAAGCTACCATACCCCTCGTTCATCAAACCCATCATATGCACCACCATAAACTCAGGTCAGGCAATAGGAATCACACCAACAAGTAAACTAAGATCATAGGATTATGGTCCTCTCTTAAATAACTTGCAAATTGTCAATTCTACTTCTATATCCAATAATAGTTAATCTCCAAAAATTATCAAAAACAAGAAGGAATTTCATAATCTCACCCAGTAACCTCGCCAAATTGCCGTCTCAGATCATCTGCAACCCCAAGGGTATCCAACACACGCCATCCATTCTTAAAGAGTGTCATAGAAGTGCCACCAATTCTTAAGGACCCTGCTTGCTCTAGGACCAAAGATTTAATACCAAGCCTGAATAAACCACGTTCTTCAATCAATAAAGAAATCCCATTACATACTGCTATGGAAGTATCAAATAACCCACTATAAGAAAAACGATCTCAGAAAAACAAAATATGGCTATGGAACAGTATGTTATAATTTGATCGTTTTTTGACCAAATTCACAGACATAAGCTGGCCCAACAAAAAGTAATCGCAGTTTTCTATGACATGAAGTGATATGAAAAGGAACAAATTTTAGTTAAAAAAGAACCTGTGTAAAGAGAGAGCAGTTGCAAGACCAGCAATTCCTGCTCCAACAATGAGGATGTCTTCCTTTTTAGGATTTTGGCATGCTTTCACCTTTAGACCAAATGGGTTTCTTCTGAAACTGGTTTGAAAAGAATGCTTGGATGGTACTCTGCTATGAAAACTTTTAGAATAAAGAGAAAAACCTTGTGAAGGAGCAGCCATTGATCACTTTTTGCAGCTTAGTCTGGTGGGAGTAAGAGGTGGAAACAATTTTCTCATTTCTGTTTTTTTCATCCTATTTTTAATTTTGCTTATTTTGCCTTGGTATCGGACATGAGCAACAAGAGATAGAAACCACGAAATCTAGTGGTGGAGGAGAGAGAACATTTTCTACATATTTCAGCAGTTTTAGATTACAGAAATGACTACAAACGTATTGAGGGCATGCTTATGGCGGGTATTATTTGGAGCGCGTGTGCTATGCTCCTACGGGATTATGGTGTATATCTACTACCTTAATCAGAAGACCTACTGGGGAGGACGCTTTCAAAAGCATCACTGGACTATTATTCTCAAAAGAAAATTTTGAATTTTTGACTTTTTCAAATGCTGAGATCTCGTGCTTTAAAAATTGGACCACTTCTATTCAATCTTGAAACATTGTTTTCTTTCAACGGGGTGTTTCTATTGAGGTTAATTTATAGGTCGAAAAGGTTATGTCCCAAAAATTTTAGTCCTAAAATTAGACTTGGATGGGGTTTTACCTGAGGGAGTGAATGAACAGTATGCTCCTACGGAACATAATATCTTTTTTTTTTTTTTTGAAAAAGTGGTCGAGGTGAGTATCATTATAACCCTTGATGCTCTATAACGATAAAGAAATTTGTAGCTCAAAAAATGGTCCACATCTATGAACACTTGAAACTTATCGGTCTAATTTGTTATAAATTATAATATATATAGTTTTAAGGCTTGATTTTTTTAATTTTTTTCATGTCCATAATAGCCGAGCAAGAAATGATCAATTAGAAGGCTTTCTGAACTGCAATTTTCACTTTTTCCCATAAGGTCTATGCTTTATTTTAACCTTCTAGTCCTCATGTAAAAATATAAGCCTCACCTCATAATGTTGTCCAAAATACTTCGGAGATAGTATACCCTGGCTCTAAAATCTATTTTTACTAGTGATTATGAAATTTATAACTCAAAAGGTACATATTTCACTGATCCGTGAATATTGGAAAATAAATGGTCTCGATAATTTGTTATAATATACACTATTTTGAGATATTAAGAAATCTTTATTTTTTCACATCGATAATAGTTAGAGATGATGAATTTGAATATTTTCTAATATCAGTACTACAATTTAAAGTGAGATTTGAGAGGCGGCCATACTTTTTCCATAAGTCATAGGCCGATGTGGTTCTATAAGGCTTAGTCCTTAGAAAAAAAGTAAAGCCTCATCAAATAACCTTATCTATAATACTTTTGCCATTATAAACCTTTCGAGGGCTCTAAAATCCATTTCCGCCACCAATTATGAATTTGGTAGCTCAAAAAATGGCACTGATCTTTGTTATATGTGAACACTTGAGAATAGATTCGTCTCTAACTTAGCAAAAAAAAGTTTCTCAAATTTTACGATTCTAACTGAAATATTTTCTATTAATTTTTTCACTGGAAGTAGACAAAAGTTTTAAGTTCCAGACATGTCTTTGAGTGCAGCTTGGGTTCAAAACGGAAACTTTTGGATCCATATTTCACTTAAACGATTGTCTATAGGGTCCGGTTGTTGGAGTTTCCAATTCATCACAATTATACAATTCTCTTTTTTTTTACTTCAAAGTTTTTTTTGATGGGAAAACTTTTCATGTGACCCCACTCACATATGAATTATATGTGACCCTGCTCTCAGCTGTCAAATATGAGCAGATGACTAGGACGGCTTGAGTTACCATGTTACGAGTTGGTTCTTGAGCGTTAGATCTTGATTTGACGATTTACAGTGTTTTATTTTTAATATTTATTTTATAAACTTTGAAAACTATTTTGGTCATTTATTTTTACAGGAAAATTTTCTTTTATTTTTTCTAGATGGGCCCGAAGTAGGGATACATATAATTTATATATGGGTAGGGTCAAATAGAAAGTTTTCCCTCTTTTAATAATGCAACATGTAGTACGATGCTCTGCCTACCTGCCACATCAATCTCCAGCTTAGGTAAAATCAGTGTTATAAAAATTGGACCCATGGGTTGAATCGGTTAGCCATGTTAGGGCCGGGTTTGCTGAAACGCCACATTTGATGAGCCAACTTGGGCATCTTGTGTAGAAAGGCAAAAAAAAATAAAGAACATATGAAACCAAATATTTAATTTCATATTATAAAGATGGATAAGTCAAAATCATATAAAAAACTAAAATAAAAAACATTTTGTGAATGAAATGTTAGAAAAAACACCAAAATTACAAAAAATAGGGTTTTTTTTAAATTTTGATTTGTTAGAAGAAAAAAAAGTTCATGAATAAAAATTTACAAAAAAGCCGGTCTATTATAGGGCTTGAATAGTAAAATTTTGAAGCAATTTTAGATGATTCAGTTCAGAAATGAACGAGAGATTGTAAGAAAGGGAAAGGCCGATTATCTCTTAGGGCTCAAAACCGGTGAGTTTTTTATTAATTTTTTTTGCTCAGGTGCATATTTTTATTGAAAGATATTTTTGGTGTCCGAATTGATCAAAATCGGCATTAGATATAGATTTTTAATGAAAAAAAATCTGAAAAATATTTTTTTTAACTTATTTTTCACTTGGAAAGGGGGTTCCAAGGGACGCGCCCGAGTCTGGCCAAGAATCGGCTACTAAGCTGGCTCCAAGTCAACATGGGGATATTTGACAATTGCGTAAATCCTAAATCTATAATTTTGGCAAAATTTGAGGGTGCGTCTCAATTTCACATTTTAAGGTCGACGCCCTATACAAACCACACCCATAAGTATTTACAACATAAATATGTTGAAATTTTGAAAACAAAATTAGCTTTATTTTACAGTGTTGAAATCATTTGGCCACATAGTAACTCGAACTGATATATCCATTATCAACTATCGATTCCTTGCAAATTGAACTCCATTTCCATTATCGAGATTTAAAGCTATTTTTAGATGGACTCTGTTTTTATGCTGCCAAGCCCCCATATATAGAAATACGGGCCTATTAATAAATCTATTTTTGAGATGGACTTTTTGACTGAATTTTTAAGGACTAGTAATATCTAACATGGAGACCATGGATACAATTACCCAAAAAAACAAAGATTATGAATATGAAAAAATAAATAAAATTTAAAAACTAGAAATAATAATTTCAATAAAAAATATTTGGACCAATAGTTTCCATTGTTTTTAGATGGAATACCTACTTGCATCCATCTTAAAAATGGATGCTTTACACTTTTTGGGCCTCATATATAGATAGATGCTTTACACTTTTTGGACCGCATATATAAGAATACGGTCAAGCCCGCATGAAACAATTTTCCTTTTTAGATAAATGACATGCTTTTTACAAACTCAAATTGCCAATTATGCTTTAGGATTAGACACATGCTCTTATGAGCAAAGTATTTTATCATAATAACACAGAAAAGCACCTAATATATTGATCTTAACAAGATATTATCAGAATTATTATTGAGATAAAGTTATTATCGTGATAAACATAGAAATAGAATCTAAGGCGGGATTGTTAGTTTCCTCTACCCTCTCCTCTTTTTGGCAAGGGTGGCAACTGGACGAGCCTGGCCCGGTCCGGTCCTATGGCCTCAGTCCCCATAGGGCCAGCCCTAGCCTTGTTAGAGCCAGCCGGGCCAAAAACTAATAAAGCAAAAATAAAAATAAAAGCTACAAGCCAAGTTTGTGGCCCAGGCCTTACTTTTTAGGGCCGGGCCGACCAGGCCGCCGGATCCACTACTATTTGGGTATGGACTGGAATCCTGCAAGTTGTGTCGTGGGTCTTCAGTCTACACTAACCACTAAGAGCTACAAAATTGTTAACAAAAAAATACAAAATATCACTCACTTTCTAAGATTATAGGAAAATTATAAAAAATATACTTTTATTTTCATTTAATTGAAAAAAAACTTAAACTTTCATAAACCTCATCCACATTTTTTTTTTATATTTTTTTTTTACCAAAATAGCCTTCACTGTAGTCATATTATTGTGAAACCCGAGCATTAAGGTACTTTAAGTACCGTGACTATCCCATTTTATACAACATTTTACATGCCATGATAAATCGAAGTATTTTGAATGTCAAAACTATAGAAAAAAAAAGTATAGACGAAGTTTATAAAAGTTGAGGTTTTTTTTTTTAGCAAGCTTTCTATACTTCTCCTACAACCTAAAACTTATATACTCACTTATCCAACCGTCCATTCTGAATGGAGGGCTAAGATTGCCCCAATCACAATGTCACGTCTTTACACTATTTTTTTAAAAATTTTTTTTTTCTATAAACAGTTTTGTCACCAAATTTTTTACGTCCAATCCTCTATTAAACTCGCACTAGCTAAAAATATATATAGAAAAAAAACCATTTTCAATAAAATAAAATGACCAAATACCTTTAAAAGTTTCAAAAGATATTTTGATCATTATATTTAATCAAAAATTTATTTTTAATATTTTTTATAAATGCACCACAATGAGAAGCACGTATCAAATTTCGTATTCATACAATTTGTATAAAATAAACTAAAAATAAAAATTTCGTATTCATACAATTTGTATAAAATAAACTAAAAATAAAACACTTTGAATACAATTTGTATAAAATAAACTAAAAATAAAGCACTTTGAAACGTCGGATCTAAGATCAAATGGTGAATGGCTCTCTCGATCAAAATTGGACGGCAAGATGATAAGAGAAGCATAGATCTCCTATGTTGTAGGAGTAGTATAAAATCCTTTATTTTTTTCTTTTTTTTTTGTAATTTGTCAAAAATTAAAATATATTTCTCATAATTTCTCAAAAATTATATTATAAGATTCATCATATCTGCAAAATCACCATTTATTTTCGATTTTGAATTAATCATTGATCTCATACTAGACAAAAAAGAGGTAAGAGCCATTAGAACATCCATAGAAATTAACTCTCATTTTTACCTCGCCATTAACTTCAAGAATCACAAGAGACCCTAACATGAAATCATTCGAATTAAGAAGCACTACTATTAGTAGCAACCTGCTAACTGTACAAAGATACATCTCTCTCGAACTCCTATATCTATTCCCCTGCTACGTAATACCAAATAATCCATGTAAGAATTCTTTGCACCAATTTTCTCGGCTGACTTCTAACTCGCTCTCATACAAACCCTAACATTGCTACCGCCATTACAGTAGCAGCCCTAAACAAAATCTCATCCACACCTCTCTGCAACTTCACCACAGTTTGCTGCTCCTTCATCCTTAGCTTGTTGGAGGACTTACCCATAGAGATAATGGCATCTCTGAGGCCATTAATGGCCCATGAGACCCAAACAAGGCCAAACCCGATACCTGTATTCACCAACTTGCTTAAAGTTCGGCCTCGCACACCTTTAGAGAGAATGCAGAGCATGACTGCTAGGCCTGTGCCTGCAAGGCCTACAGCTAGCCCAGATAGAAGCCGCCCCACTTCTGGGCCCATGTGAACCAGAGCCAAGAGGCCCGTTTGTCCTGACCTTTTGTTGAGAATTAAGGAAATAAGGTTTTCACATGCGTGGAAAAGACTTTTGCCATAGAGCTCTCTCTCTCTAACTGTTAACTTCATGTTCTTTCTTCTCTTTCGTGGCGATGCCTTCTGTTTCCTTACATCGGGGCTGTGAAATACAAAAACTAGGGAGTTAGAACAAGTGAGTAGAACCTCAAAAAGAAAGAAAAAATGAAAGAACGGGAGATTACACAACAATGTCATGGAAAAAGAGGGTCCAATCTGATTTGACTGCTGAACCAATCAGATGGGTAAAATTAAATCAAAGTTTCTCAAAAACAATGTGGACCCTCACAAAATGTCAAAAAATTGGATATTTAAGGAAAATGTAAGGGAACAAAAACAAAGTCCTTAGGAAAAACTAACAAATATAAACCCAAAAGTAAAAGAAATATATGTCCCTATGAGTCTTCTATACCATGTATTTTTCTTGCAAATCTAAAATTTTCTACAACAAATACTTTTAGTTTTTATGGTGCATATTGCACTGTGCCCCTGCATTCTCCACCTTCCAACTAAGTTGGATGGTGTAGGTTTCATGCGGTACCGCCCGAATAGAAACCATGTCCCTTTACAAATTGATAACTTACACAATGTAAGCTTATATTCAGATTTAAGTACTCATATTTTAAAAGAACTTTCAGATGGATATTAAAAAGAGGAAAAATTTGTGACTCAGGACTTATCATTTTCAAGAAGTCCTGCAAGATTTTCAGAAAATAGAGCTTTGTCACTATTGTTTTATCCAGTTCCTGGTGGACTGAAACCAGTTAGTAGGTCACATCCCATTCAAAACAGCCAAACCAGTAGGCTCGGTCCTGTCCAGTTTTCAAACACAGTTACACTCAAATAGAAAGAAAGCACAGATTATGTCCAGTTTTAAAGCATGAAATTGTTACCTCTTCACAGGTGCCATCATGGCTGCATGTTGATTCCATGCAGGTGCTACTCTGGAGTCAGAGTCCCTGAAATTAGAGCATAAAGTTCGATTATCAGGTGAATTCCAAGACACAATCGTTTCAAAACACACAAAAAAAGTCAAAACCTACCCAAGAAACAACAATGTAGTCAAAAGAGAACACAAATGGGATCTATGGACTGCAGGAAGCATACCTTATGAAGTGTGGAACCAAAGCAACTTGCTTGCTCCAATAGGTCGAGTTCTTAGTGAGATATAATTCGGAAATAATTGAGCATAACTCTTTCAGCTCAGCTTCTCTTGGAGTTAGCAGAGCCTGTCCTACTGGATTGTGGTGAAAATCGTGGTAAAAACCACTGTGCACCTTCTCCTGGCTTTCCAATGCTCTTCTTGGGTCTGTGAGTCCTACTGGATTGTTGTGAAAATCTTGGTAAAAACCAGAGTGCAACTTCTCCTGGTTTTCCGATGCTCTTCTTGGGTCTATCACAGAAGGTGATATATTGCCGTCTCCAATATAGTAGTGACTAAAGCCATAATCTGAGGTAAAGGGTGGGTTTTGGTTCATGTTCAAAGCCAAATTGTAAAGGCCACTCAAATCAGTTAGCAAGGAAGAATCAAGGTCTTCTCTTAGCCCATTATCGCCAAGGAACTGCATGCTCCTTTCGTATCTCATGCATTGCTGAACGATCCTGGAGCTGAGGAGCAATGACTCTGGGTGGCAGATTTCTGCACCTGACAATGTGGGACAATAAAATATAAGCCCTCTCACAACCACAAATATGTGAATAAATAACTTGAAAACAAGTATGAGTTTCATGGAAGTAAAGTTTCATGGAAGAAAACTGTAACATACAGAAAGATACACAGTATATCAAGAGATGCTAAGCAGTTCATGAACATCAAACAAAAAGTACCCTCTTAAGTTCCTTGATTCTCGAAGTCAATGAGAAATATCACTACATTTCTTTTGAGTAGATAATTTAGGTTGGAACCCACAACCTCAACGGTGCAAATCCAGGCTGCCTTGCTGTTGAGTCATGGGCTGAACCCCTGAGATCTCTCTACTTAGTTATAAAGTGGACAAAACAATTTGGATTCTCCAACAAATACTCGAACATGTTTACAGAAACACTGTAAATCCCCCTAAGAATTCCAAGGTTTCTGAAATCAGTTAGTGTTTTGATAAAAATGAGGCCAATATTATTGAGAGGATGCCGGCCACCATGTGACCAATGAGGAAGATTTCGAATAAATAGAAACTTAAAACAGCTCACTCCCTTGCTCCATCAGCTGATGTTTCCCACATTTCAAGTCGACAAAAGGTCAATTTTTTCATTGAGGGTCCCATAGAATCTTATTACGTACAGAACTCTTTTTTAATCTAACATAAGAACACAGGCACATAGTTCATGATAGCACTGATTCAGAGCAAAATCATATTCAACAAACCTACTGAGTGAATGCAATTCCCAATTTTAAACATGAAGGATCACATGCATCATAGAATCTGTAGCCATCACGAAGGGCTTCTTATAAAAGATATGTTCTTTATTGATTTCTATTTTACTTAAGAACGAGATATGAAGGAAATATACATCGAGGAAATACGAACAAACCTTGGGAATCCACAAGTACAGGGCTGCTTCTCATTGAGGAAAGATCCAACTGGACATTTGGGAACAATTGTGAAGACTTCCATGGTACCTCAAACTCAAGCGATTTGAGCAGCAAATGCGATGCCAGAAAATCTGGTTTTGAGACAGGAAAAGGCAACAGTGGTTGAAATCCCTGGCAAAGACAAGGTGCAGACAAGGTCAAGTGCTGGAGAATAAAGATATGAAATAAATGCATGCAAGGCAAAGTAATTTCCTACTCTTTTCCATGCTTGCAAAACCATTTATCCATTATATATTTCATAAAAATCAAAAGAGCAGAATGGAAATAAAAACAGTGGTTAAAAACACGGAACCAAGCAGGAGGCAGGTCCGAGCTGGCTCGCCAATCCCCAATTTTAATCAGCCAAGACTCAGACAGGAATCACTAGTTCTTGTAAAGACCCTTACAGGATTTGGACCTCAAGACTGGGTTGAGACTTGCATCACCCGAAACCAAGAGGGTGCTGGTTCCGAGTGATTTGGACAAGTCGAGTCAGATTTGCTTAGTTTTTAAACACTGATAAAAAACGTAAGAATAAATATTCCAGCATTAACAGAAATTATATCAATGTCCAGTTCTGGAAATTCACAAAGAAACAACCAAGACGATATGGTCGTCACAACAACCAAAAGTACTTGTTACATCTCACCGAAAAATACATCTGAATTGAAAAATTTAGAAAACCCAATAATGGTAGGAGGTACACTTGAATGCCTAAAGAAACAAAGGGAATAAGACCACATTCTCAAGCACCGTCTCATTTTTTAACTTCTCGAGCATCGTCAGATGATTTTTTATTTTTTATTTTGGTGGGGGGGAGGGGATTTCCAGAGTAAGAACATGTTTGTTCATATAATAGATGGAAAAAGGTAATATGTTATCCACATATAAGTATATATTTTTCCATAATATCCATATAAATGTCCCCATAAAAATGTCAAGACATTATAAACCAAAGCATTCAATTTACAACACTGAAACATAAAGGACTCTCAAAAGCAAAGCAAGCCAAGTTTCCAAAGTCCAAAAATATATAATCTTTACCCAATTTTGACAACATACCCAGTATTGAGTTGGAGCTCTAAGAACATCTAATACAAAAGTTTTGAGTAAATCTTCCATTCCATAAAGAATCACGTCTAAGAATATCTAATACAAAAGTTTTGAGTAAATCTTCCATTTAAAAAAGAATCTCTCACAGGACGTGAGACTCCCTTGAACTTATATGATAACATTTAATGAATCATCCTCTTAAACTCTCAATCCGAGGAAATAACTTGTTGAAACACCTGTTCTAATAAAGAACATATTCCTCTTGGACCCAATACGTGCATTCACATTGACCAGTAGACCAATACTGGAAATCATAATGTTAGGAAATAGATAAACCACATCCAATTATAAACTATTGACTAATGAGAAGATGAACATAAATAGTTGCGTAACCATCAGTAATTTAAAAAGGCCACTACAATATCTTGGATAGCATTGACTCGCATCATCATCATTTGAGCCTCATCCCAACTATTAGGGTTAGCTACTGCTCCACCATTTTTTATTTAGGATTCATGAAATAGATGTGGCAAAGTTTTACGCTGGCTGCCCACCTAACACAAGCCTCTCCTATCTCAGGGCTTGCGACCGTCATGACCAGCTTGGGCTTAAAAACCAAACATGAAAAGTTGAAATAATATAGAGCTAGAGTTCCATTGTGTAGCAATGAAAATATTTATAATTAGAAGATGGGAAAGGAATGTGAATGATTTAGGCGATTGTCCCAACTAAAGGACCAGAAGAACATATATATACAGAAAAGAAATTTTTTTAATAAACGAGAAGCTGGCAACTATTTCAAAAACATTACAGTTTCCGGATAACAAACCATGATATTGTCATGATAATAAAATGACTTTCCATAAATATACATTATGTTTCACCGTCAAATAACCATCTAAGTTTGGAAATATTTTCAGGATATCTTAGTGGTTTTCCTCATTTAATTGAAACAGAGATTACATGATACTTTACATATGTTCCCAAAAAACTTGTTTTTCAAAGACAAAATAAAAATAAAATTATTAAAAAATTTGCAGACGAAAATATGTCATATATATCCTCAATAAAATTCCACAAACTACCAATAGCTGTTGTTATGATGCAAAAAATATATAATTAAGTCCACGAATACCAAAAAATAATAATCAAATAATTGGGAATTCATGTCGTTAAAGAGATGAAGAATTCAAACGAACAATTCAATCCCGAAAATCCTACACAACCACCGAAACATAAAAATCAAGAAAAACATTGGCATGACAGAAAAACATAACACAACCCAGCCACAAATGCCCATAAGAAAAGAGTGTAAGGGACGACATTAAGTTCAAACCAGAACCTTTGAAATTGAATGAAACGTTACAACAGAGATAGTTAACTGAGAGAAACGTCAGAGAAAACTCAATTGTCAGAATTCATACTAAACATGAAGGAACAGGCCATATCAACAATTCAACCCAGCAAAATTCTATCAAAATTCAAACAGAACTTAATGTAATATAAAAAAAAAACAATCAATTTACAATTAAATATATATATATATATAGAGAGAGAGAGACATAGAGAGACAAAATGCATCAAAATTTAAATAAACCTTAATCCGATATAAAAACGAAGAAATACCCAATTGAGAGAGAGAGAGAGAGAGAGAGAGAGAGAGAGAGAGACAAATAGACATACTAAATTAAATAAACTTAATACGATATAAAAGAAGAATACCAATGAGAGTGAGAGAGAGAGAGAGAGAGAGAGAGAGATTGAACCTTGGGAGACCTGGAGAGGCCCTGTTCTCGAAGGGGACACCCACAAGGGAAACTGGGAGCAGAAGTCAAGCAAAGCTCTGCCATCGCCTCCACTAATTAGAGAGAGAACGACACGATTTCTAGGGTTTCGAGTACCTAACCCAAGGCAAGAACAAAGTCATGTGTCTCTTCATCACCAACCCAGCCAGACGAATCGCAAGGATTGGGATCTGTGGCCCTTGCTTCTTCCTTAGTCATGTTTACGAATTAGAACCATATGTAAATTGGAAAAACTTTATATATAAATTTACGGTTGAGAGAGAAAAGGAAGGGGACTACATTTTTGGGGGGCCCATACCATATCGCGACATCTGGGAGGAAAGATTCCCTCCACCTTAGCAGTTCAATAAATGACCCAAATAAACGGTACAAAAAATTAAAAATATACCACTCAAATTCTAAATTTTTATTATTTCTCGAGTTTAATATCCACAATTGGATTCAAAGCCCATCTCTAATATCGACGTTGAAGGCGATGCATGTAAATAGGACCGGGGGGCAATGCGATACAGGGAAAAAATAATAGACTAGAAATATAAAAAATAAAATAAACTCTCTGCTTCTCTGAAAAGACTCCGGAAAGATCAATAATATCCGGAAATATCTTCACTTTCAATACAAACTAAAAATAATAATAAATTAAAATAAATTAAAAATAAAAAAAATTATCTCTCACTTATCTCTTAAAAACAATTCTAACCTATTCTAACTAGCTCAACCATGTCATAAAAATTAAACTTTCAAATCTACCCCCATAAATATCTATAAACCCTAAAAAAACTAAAAAAAATTAAATAACATATTTTTTAAGTACTAGAAAAATATAAAATTAAAAAATTAGTCCGTTAACCACAAATTGTGGTGAGGGCCGGGCCTCGGCAAATTAAGATAGGCCCAGCTTGGCCCTTTTTCTCTTTTTTTGCATTGTTTTCCTTTAATTTTACCCAGCACCATGCAACCCAGCCCAGGTCTCAAGAGAATAGAGCCAGGTTGTTGCCAGCCCTGAGATGAGAGACTTGAGTGAATTCATGTTTTTTATTTATGCTTTTCTCCCATAATCGCTTGGGTACAACAATTCCCACTCGAGCAAGTACTAAGATGGAAAGATGATTTATTTATTTTTTATACGAGTTTACTGGGTTGAAACCTCTTACAAAATCATTAAAATGATTCTAATTAACATTTAATATATCACTGTTTTATTTCAATCTCACTTAATACTTCCTCAAAAAGTTTTTGAAAAAACCCAAATAGTCGTTGTTCACAAAAATTGTCCAGATGAAAATACCCATGCTTATTTAGAATTACAAATTAACAACAATAGGGTTCTTGATGGAATAATTAGGGGGATTTATGTTATAAGAGATTTGTGCAAGTAATAGAGTGACATCTTTATTACTTAGGTTGAGGCCAATTGGGGATCAAATTGTTAAAACAATCATAATTTCCAATCTTGAACCATGGCAATTTGAAAAAATTTAAATATTTTTGAGGAGTTACTAAGGTGAAATGAAATAATAAATATCTTCTTAATTTTTAATTGAGATTTCAATGATTTTGTAGGGTTTCAACCCCTTCGATCTAACTTATTAAATACTGGCTACTTCTTCTCCGGTCCAATGTACGTGTATGCTGTACTAGCGTTTAAAAAGTTGGACTTGGATTGACCAAAGTTTTAGGGTGCACCAGAATTCGGGTCGAAAAAACTGGGACTCAACCAAGACAAGATCAGCGGTCCGTTCAACGTAGAAAACCTCGAAAACCTCGTAATTCCGTGTCTCACATTCATTATTATTTGGGGATTGTATTCTTTTAGCGTGTGGTTTCTACGAGGTTGCCACCTTAAAAATTCCAATTTAAGCGCACCTCCAAATTTTATCGTAAATTTGGTGTAAAAAAATTCTTAGGATTGTTTGAAAATTTATTTTAATATCTATTTATAAAATTTAAACTTCAAAAATGGTTAAAATCAGACAGATCTATAAATATATGAAAATCTTGAAAGTGAACGGTTTAGATAATGTGTTGCACTATTTTTAGGATTCAAAAATAGAAAAAGCTCGGATTAGTCCACTAGCTCATATGAACATATGAGCCTAACGGCCCAGATTGAATCTGGGCCGATCTGACGGTCATGACCTCATTTCATGTTTGAATTTTAATTTTTTTTTTGTACAAATCCAAATCACTTGAAATTTTAGGTGTGTATTCTTCTCATAAATACGCACCTAATAAAAATATATAAAAAGATTATTCATGAAAATAAATGACCAAAATACCCCCAAAACTTTTCAGAGGTATTTTAGCCAATTTGTTTCATGTAAAATATTTTTTTGATATTTTTTGAAGATTCAACTATTTTTTATGAACACACTTTTAAAATTTCAAATAATTTGGATTTATAGAAAATAAAATTAAAATTCAAACACTATCAGACATTTCTGATCGTCAGATCAGCCCAGCTTCAATCTGAGCCGTTGGGCTCATATGTTCATATGATCTAGTGGGCTAATCCCAACTTTTTCCATATATATATATATACGAGCCTCTACCTATTTTTTGACATCATATGTGGTTTTTGAATTAGAGAAATGGAAGCCTAGACTTTAGTAGGGGCACAAGTGGTGCTACCACCAAGACCAAACCCCATTTTCCACATGATTTAACACAGGATAGCTATTAGTCAATAGTCACTAGATGATTGTTTGCAAAAAAAAAAAAATAATAATTGGATTTTGTATTCTTGAAGATCAAGATCTTTCCCTGAAAAAATTGGATGGTTCTTGTTCACTCTTGGGATGTCATTTTTTAGTAATGCGACTTGATTTTTTTTATTCTTTGAGATTGTTCGTTGGGTTCTAGGGATTACATCTCTAAAATTTAGATCCGAAAAGTATTCCATTGAATTTTGCTTGAGGGAGCAAACGAATTATAGGAGCATAAAATCTTCTCACTTCTTTTAAGAACTACAAATAGGTGATATCCGGGTGATCATTTTTCCAGAGCTTTGAGCCACAGCCCGTGGCCGAATAGAAACTTTTAGCCTTGGAAAAAGTTTCATGAGAAGTGTACAAAAGCGATCACTTGCTCTTTAGGTTGTCCCGGATGCTGTTGTCCTTTAAATATCCAATCGGGCAGTTGTGAACTTGTCATTGACTAGACGAGGACCATAATCCGGTGCTGGTTCTGCTTGACTAGGACCATAATTCGGTGTTGGTTTTGTTTTGGAAGAGGTGGGTTAGAAACGGTCATAACTTTTAACTTATGCACAAAGTGGCCGCTCTCAATACTCGAACCAGCACTCTTGCGCTGGCTACCTGAGCCTTTTACTATCACACCAAGCGACAACTCCTATGTCATTGACTACACTCAAAGTTAAAAAAAAAAAAATCTAATTATTAAGAGTAATTGTGACCTTCTTGTAAAAAAGATAACTAGTTGCTTAGTATACAATCACAAAAGTTTATATAAAGTCTCAACCTTACATTGTTGAAGTAAGGTACACAAAAACAAAATCCATAAAAAAAGGTTGTTTGAATGATAAAAAGACCTTCAAATTGATTATATGAACCTCAAGATGTATTGATACAAATGAAAAATAAATAAAATCCTAAAAGTTTATACAAGGTATCAAGCTTACACTATTGAAGTAGGGCACAAAAAAAAAAACATTAAAAAAGGTTATTCGATTGCTAGAAAATCTTCAATTTGATTATCTGAACCTCAAGATGTATTGCTACAAACAAAAAATAAAATAAAATAAAAGATTTTAAGCTATTGCTATAAACGAAAAAAATAAATTAAAAGATTTAAAGCGAAAAAATAAATTAAAAGATTTAAAGCCATGTAATAGTGTATCTTTTAAGGCATTAACTAGGCCATTCTTTTTCAAAATTTTAAGTGTTTATAGATGTGTTCGATATGCAATTTTTTTTAAACTTTGTACCTGGGAGTAACAATAATATAAGGTTGACACCTCATGCACAACTCATCCTTTCCCTTTCATTACGGGAAGTTTTATGTGACTCTATATCCCATTTTTTAGCTACTTCCTCTTTCAATTCTGGGCGAGGATTGCGACAAAGGACCATTAATAGATGGAAAAAGTTTATATAAGTGTGAGGCTCTAAACCATCAAATTAAGATGCACCTCAGAAATTTCATTAAAAGAGGTCGTTTCGATGCCCAAAAAACATTTATAGACATGAGAAAAAATGGATTTCAAGTTTTGAAAATAGTGCTTCTTGTAATGCATTTACGAACAGTCAATTTTCAAAATTTTCAAATGGTAATAGATATGCTAGATCTACACTAGTTTTGAAACTTTAAATTTTATGCTTAGAGATGAAAATAAAATTCCACGCCATCGTAAAAATTTTCAGTAATGAAACAAAACATCTTCCGACACTATTCAAAGGTACGCCTTAATTTGATTGGTTAGAGCCTGGCATTATACAAACCACACCCTTGATAGATTTGGCATTGGGAAAAAGGAACCTAACTAAACCCAAATTTAAGCAGAGAAATCATGCAAACAAACAAAAAGAACCCTAAATTATCCATCCCAAACTGAACAATGAGATGATGAGAGACGGAAAAAGGTTAGCACAAGAAAACAAAGGCGATGCCTAAATTTAAGGAAGAGGGAGAGAGACAGAGAATCACTTTGACGTTGTCTTCCAACCTAAAATCACGCAACTTCCACTCCCCACGAATGCCATGCCCCTCATTTTCTCACGGCCCCCATTCCTCCTCCTTTTCTCTCCCCCGTTTCCCACTCCTTTGTTTGTTTTGCCTCAACTCTCAAACTCACAGGGCGGTGGAGCTGCTGGTGGTGGTGGTGGTGAAGTGGTGGCTCCTCTTAGCCCCTAAGCGAACGAACGAACAAACAAACGCACAACAATGCTTTCTCTCTCAGCCCCTTTCTCTCTCCTCATTTTTTCTCTCCTCTTCGCCGCCCTCGTTTTGGTGGAGGAAGTGGATTCGAACCAGTCTCGCCGCCCCTTCCTCTCTCTTACCCATTCCCCTCCTCCTCCCCCCCCTCGCCAATACTATTTCCAACAGCCGCCGAAATTCGAACGGTCTCTCCCGTTCGTTTTGACGCTGGTTTTGGCTGCTTTTTTCTTCATTGGCTTCTTCACCATCTACGTCTGTCGCTGCATCTTGGATTGCCTCGGAGACCGCTCTTTGCGCCGACGCCGTGCGGAGGGCAACACTGCCCTGCAGCGCCCCCCTGGCGGGCCCCGCGGCCTGGACCCTGACACCATCGCCAGCTTCCAGACCTTCCCTTACTCTGAAGTCGAGTCCCTGAAACGCGGGCTGGAGTGCGCCGTTTGCCTCAGCGAGTTCGCTGGAGAGGAGTTGTTGCGATTGCTCCCCATCTGTAACCATGCATTTCATCCGGTTTGTATTGATCAGTGGCTGAGTTCTCACACGACGTGTCCTGTTTGCCGGGGTAATCTTGTGCCGGAGGCAATTGACATTGATACCGAAGATGCCTTGGAGCCGGAGTCGGTTTCATCACAGGGGTCACCTACACCCGTGGCGGCAGAGAATATGATGTTGGTGAAGGATTCTGATGACAACGTTCATAGGCGGTCGCATTCAACGGGGCATTCGATGAGGAGGCCTGCGGTGGAAGAAGGGGTATCCAGTGGGTTTTCCGGGGAGAGAGGGGACGACAGGTTCACCCTAAGGTTGCCACAGGGGGTAAGGGAGAGGATAGCAAGGGTGCATGAGAGGGGCGGGAGCTGTGTCACATTTCGGGAGCTCCGCGTCTGCGAAATCCGGCATTGAGCCCAGTTTTTAGGCAAAATGTGTGGCATGTTTTACGTGAATTCCGGTTTTCCGGCTCGATTCATCATAAACTCCAGTTTCCGGCCAGTTTTTTTGGCTGGTTTCTGGCGAAGAGTTAAGGTAAAGAAGAGGGTGAGACGAGTGTAAGTTGCTTGTCCCCCATGCATGGTACGCTGTTGATGCATTTGGTTGGGCTCATAGCTTCTCTAATATTGACATTGCAAAAACAGTGTTCGTGTAGGAGATGTTTAAATTTGTACATGAATGGGCCAATCTAATAGTGAAAAGTCCCTATAATTGATTGATGCTATATACCTTTCACATTTTTGGCCCAAAATTTGTTATGTCATAAACATTTATCTATAGTTATTCAAGAATTCAAAACCACAATGTAACACCTTTGGTATAAGCCACAATTCAAAAGCATGATGTATGATCTTTGGTATAGGCAACGACCATCCCTTATATGTAGGGGTGGCAATGGTCGATTTTTGGCTCTGCCTTGTCAGACTGGCCCTAAAACATTAGGGCCCTTAGGGCCACGAAATGTGGCCCCAGGGCATGGAAACCATGGCAGCCTAGCCAGCCCTCCCCTCTTTTTTACTTTACTTGGGCCGGCCTTGCCCGACCTGGTTTTGATAGGGCCTGCCCGGCCTGGCTCTGATGGGGCTTGGGCCAAGGCCTTCTTGGCCCGGTCTCTATGGGAACTAAGGCAAGGCTAGGGCCAAGGGTTAGGGGTGACAATAGACTCGAACCCAAGGAATAGACCCGATCCGTGTCTAGGTATGGGTCTAAAAAATGGACTTGGCGGGTCAGGTCCCGGTCCAAATTTTGGACACGAACACCATTCGGGTCCATGTACAAGTTCGATCGGATCAAGATGGGTATGAGTTTGGGCCCCATAATATTTTTTGGGTCCCAATATATGAAATATATTTTACTATAATTAAATACATAAATATTTTATAATTTGGGTCGGGTTCGATCGGGTCTGGTCAGGTCCGGGTCTAAGTCCCATATCATTTTTTTGAGTCTGGGTCCAATCGGACCAGGACCCAACCCGTTACTACCCCTCAAAGGGAGGTCCAGTCTAGGCGAGGCGCCCAGCAGCCCAAGCCCCGGCCCGATGCCACCCCACTTATATGGGTCGCCCTGAGTGTGCTACTGACTACACTCAAAAGTTCATGAAAAGTCATGTAGAATTTTTTTTGAAAAAAAAATGACTGCGGGAGATGTTCGTGACCTTATATCAAAACATAAATAGGTTGCACAACATTCTTTCTCTTCGTAGTTGTACTGTGAAGATAATGTCATCTCTTATTCTCTATGTACAAAATATTCATGCAACATAATTTGGGTTTTAAGCGTCATTTTAGGTGTCATAGTTCAATGTTGTCTTGTTATAGCCAGAGCGAGCAATTTTATAAGAAATTGCATATCGATCTATATGATCGTAGGAATAGAAGAGTCATAAGGGTCATCACTTTCACAAATCATCGGTTGGACAGTGATGTAGAGTTAGGGCTGTTAAGGTCGAGGGGTGGCCGGCTAGCTTTGCGCTAGGCCCAGTTTTGGGCTGGTTTGGGGCCAAATCTTAATACTCAGTGACTGTGCCGGGGTTGAGCCTGTTAGGCCCATCCCGTCCCAGCCCATTTCCTCGGGTTCGGGGCCTCGTCATTACAAATTCGGGCCTGGAACGTGGCAGGCCAGGTCTAGGCCTACCTTACATAGTTTTGGGCAGGGTTTGGGCCTAGACGGGCCCCACCCCAATCTGCAACCTAGTACCTACAATTTATATAATTATATGTTTTGGTGCGGCCTACTCCCTCTCGAATTATACTCAACCTACTGATGCAAGGATGATGACCAATATGACCGTACAGCAATGAGTTCACAGTATACCTTCCCATATTTACTGGACCTAGGCACTTTTAAATTCTATAATTTATTTTAGAAGATTGGGGAAGTGCTTCTAGCTCACCACAGAGAATCACTACAGTAGATGATCAGGTTGGACAAGGAAGAAAAACATAGAGATATTTCTAGAGTAAAAATAGAAATTTTCTGAAGAACTATTAAACTCAACAAAGACACCCTAATTCATCAAATAATTGATTTTAGAGAAGGAGAAAGTATAAAATGAGGCCATTTTAGCACAAACTTAAAGGATCTAGAGTTGTTTGAGTGATTTGTGAAGATGATGCTTATGGTAGGTAGCTCAAACTTAAAGGAGGCTTCTCTCTTTACAGATAAAAAGAACATTTAGCTAATGAATTTTATCTTTCACCTACCCCAAAAAAAAAATTCATCCTTTCACTATTCTTGTGAAACCGATTTTTGGGTCTTTCTCGAGCACCAAACCTCGAGTGAAACCATGAGCTCTTCTGATAACAATGGAGAAACAGGTGAGTTACAAGGCGTACAATTTCAAAAGTTCCCCTGAAACCAGACGTTTCTCGGATAAAATCGGAATGCTAAGTATTTGAAGGATCAATTCAGTCCAACGATATCCTCTAGCTTGTAAATGAAAGCATGGAGCAACTCTTTCATGTGTCAAAATCACATAACACAGGAAATACATTACAATCCTTCATTATTCACTCAAGACCTTCATGGCCTCAGTATATATATAAATATGTAGGGAATATATATGGAGTCATAATCCATATTAACTACCTCTCTGCACTGAAGGAGTCATAATCCATATTAAGTACCTCTCTGCACTGAAGTTTGAATGCCTTCTAGATTTTGTGTGGTGTATGCCTTATTCAACAAGCTCATAAGCCTTGCCACGAATTCTGTCGGGGGCGGGGGGAGGAATACAATATGTAATTGCTCTTCAGCTTGCTACTCATGAATAACCAATAAAAACAAATATCAGAATTACCAAATATTATTTCTATGATAACTCACCTTCGATTTTGACGAAATTCCTTGTAGTTTTTCTTGTGGGGTCATCATTCCTTTTGCTTAGTTCTTCAACAAGGTTGCACTGTTGGACTAGGCTTCTTCCTCCCTCCAGTTGATAGATGTTATCCCGCTATGTAACAACAAAAGCTTTCCAAGAGTCACTCCTTAGTTTGCAATTAATTGGTAATTAATTGGTTTTCATGATAAGCAATTAGTGCTCAACCGTTAATCTTGCTCCTAGTCCCAGTTGGCACATATATGTTTTAGTAACAAAAAGACAACGAAATTTATAGGCATTTTAAAATACTTGCTTCAAATTGCGAGTAATGGCCATCTATTCTTAGAGCTGAGGTTCTAAACAATCAAATTAAAGCCTACCTCAAAAATTTCACTAGAAGAGGTTGTTTTGATGCCCATATATACTCAAATTGATCATCAACATCAAAATGCATGGACATAAGAAGAAAAATGCGTTTCAAATTTTGAAAATAGTGTATTTTGTAACGCATTTTTGGATCGTCAATTTTCAAGATTTTCAAGTTTTCATAGATCTCTCGATCTACACTATTTTTGAAGCTTTAAGCTTTATAAATAAAGATGAAAATATATTTTAAAGCTGTTAAAAAGATTTCCAGGACTGAGACCACATTTCTTGACACTATTTGAAAGTAGGCTCTAATTTGATTGTTTAGAGCCTAGGCTCTATACAAACCGCACCCTTCTTAAAATAGTGATTATCAGATCGACTGTTCTTGCAATGGATCCAATTCTCAAAAAAAGAGGAAAAACTAAAGTTTATATGGAATTTCGATGCGACTTAGAAACATGACCACCATTTCAACTTTGGTTGGCCCTGCGACCTAATAAGGCTTGCGCATTAGTCATAATACTGTAATATCTAACCTGATTTAAAACTCTTTAAGCAATAGATCTTGCAGTTAATTGAAAGTATTTCTTAAGATTTCCTTCCCACACTCCAATGAGGTAGTGAGCAAAACACAATTACAAGCTTACATTGTATTCGTGGTATAAGCTATCCACCTTGGGGTGGAACTTCTTGCCCAAATTTTGCTTCAGCTCCCCCACTAAGATCTGGTCAATATAAAAGCCAATGTAACTTGTAGCAGAAGTTGTATTTGAGCAACAATGAAAGGAAACAAACGACAAAGATGAAGCACATGGAGAGAAAAGCTTACACTGAATATATACTCCAATGAGACATTATGGTGTATGAGGGTTTGGAGCTTTCCGCGTATTAAATATAGTCTGGTCAGAAATTAGGGAAAAAAAGAAGAAGGCCAGATTAGTGTTAATTACCAACAAAAGATGAATCTCGACTACAATGATTGGTTTTATCCATCCTAACTGGGGCATCTAGAAGAGAAAGAAAGCATTTAGAAGAAAGGCAATTCATTGCAATGCACATTTCCATGTCCATATTGAATATTGAAGGGGACAATGGAAGGCTATTATGGATGTTTACCGTTAATGATGTGAGTAAAACCGAGAGGAGGCAATGCAGTGACTGGAAAACTTAAACATTAATTAACATAATGAAATGCAAAAAAGGTCCCTAGCAGAAACTATATGCTTACTGTTTTGGACTTTGCTCCTCAATTATATGTCTTGCTATGCTCATTATATCATCTTCCCACCCAGTAAGAATAACATGGTCTTCTTTGAAAGGAGTTGGGGATCTGCATTGTATACCACTAATTGAGAAAGTTTCTTGAATCACAAAATCGCCAGCACACGAGACGAGATTATTATAACAAGAAAGTTCTAACATGAACATGGAATCCTTTTTCTTGGGCACTTAACAGAGATACCAAAGAATGCAAAGGTGTAATGCTTACTGAGCTCTCCAACTGGCTTCAAAGGACCTTATTGCTTGGCGTAGATTCTGCTTTGAACACTCAGCAATCCTTTTTGCCAATTGGTGAGGTAACTCTATTCCCTCTTGCTTGGCAATATACTCCAAAACTTGGACTATCTGAGAGAAATGAATTGGCCACATTAAAAAAGAAAATTGAGAAATAGATAGAACTAGCAAACGTAGTACTAGAAAAAGCATATAAGAGCACCTCATCATTTGTTGGTGGTTCAAGCTTAATAGTTGTGCCGACAGAACTTATAGGATGAAGGTTCGTGGAATCATTGCAACAAAAGAAAATTTTATTGCCTCCTTTATAGTGGTCCATAAGCCAACGAATATAATGTTGTGCATCAGTAGAGAGCATGTCTGCCTCATGAAGGACAATTACTGCAAACATGAGTTCACAAAGACCATTAATCTAGTTTTTCTTCTTTAAAATGATCCAAACCTTATGACTAGGATACAAATCAAAAGATAATGGTAAATCACGAACAAAGCATAGGATTTCCGAATGGGTATTGCAGATGGTAAAGTACCTTTACATTGTGTTTGGTCCCAATTCATGGATTGATTCTGTGTCATGTTACGTGTTTCCTTTATAAGAGCAACGATAACATGCTTTTCATAACCGTGCATGTCTGAGAGCTTCAACTCAACATGTTGAGGCGATGCAAGTACCTTTACCTTGATGTTGTTTAAGGACGCTCCCTGAAAGTTATCTCAGTTATGAGGCTTCAAATTTCAGTTAAATTCCATTAAATTGCAATAAAAAACAATGCTGGGCAAAAGGAATAGAAAATAAAATGTAAATTTTTGTAGGTAAAATCAATGAAAAACCAGTTGGTGATCAAACCTCTAACGAGTACCTTCAATTCGAATTCTCTTTGCTCGACCCTTGTCTGTAACAATATGGAATATGTAATAGTTCATATAAAGATACTAAAAAAAATAAAGAAAAGAAAAGAAAAGAGAAATCAAGTGTACCTTTATCTTTTCAGGTCCCAAGGCATCGCGTAGTAAAGCCCTGATCATGGTTTTCTTGCCGACCCCTGGAGGACCCTCAAATATAAAGTGGGAGCAGAGTTGTTGATTTGTCTGAAAATGCAAAAAGAAATGTAAACCAATTTATAAACTTTAGTCATGAATCAGTTTCTTAGTTTGCTAACACTAAAGAGTTCCAAATAAGTGGAGGCAAGAAGTACAAATATCAGTTTGTGGAAGAAGATAAACAAACTTAACAGCCGCCCTAACATGCACACACATATCTCTCTCGTTCGAAATGTATAAAATCTGTACTATACAGAAGTTCACCATCCGAAGCTCATATCTGACATCCATCATTGACGATGGATAGCAGGTAAACCTTTTTATATGGAACTCTGGAAATAGCATAGTCCATTGGATCCTCACTGTTGGATGGTGTAGTGCATGTTGATAAGTGTGAGTGGGACCCAACCTTTGGAGCTGGGTCTTCTTGTATTATGGACCCAGTGAATTCAATCTTTTGTATGTTATTGTATACAATGAGGCCATTTACCCATTGTACAAGGAGCTCACAATAACTGATAACCATCTGATGTGAATTTGATAGCTTGGGGGGTGTCACAAAGTTCGAGAAAAATTCTTTTGAACATTGAATTTGATCAATGAAATAAATTCAGCCACCCAATTTCATATCCAATGGTCAAGATTAATTGTGACCACTTTGTACAAAAAGTAAATGGTCTCATTGTATACTTTTTCAAATTGAATACATTTGTGTTATGGTGTATAAAAGGTTTAGACCATCCATTCTAGAAACCATTTCGACATCTAAAAATCCTCGAGCGACCCATATTATTTTAAGAAATGCCTTTTTAGCCTTCTCATTCAACAGAGTCAATTTTGGAGCCCTTCCTCTCTTCTGTTTGTTGTGATCATTTCCCTGGAACTCGCTCTGCCATGGTCATCTCTGTATGCCCACCTAGGTTCTGAGTCTTTCCCCAATACCATCTTTGCAAGGAAGACCACTCTCCTTGTAGCTTCCACTTGTTTGAAGAGAACACATAGAAGTCATTAGCAATGGCTTCTTTGAATGCTCTGAAACTACTCTCTCAATTAAAGTACTTAAAGAACAAACCTGCTATAAATCACTCCCCTATAAACCTCAAAGCTTAATTACTGGCCATGTTTATGGTGACTTAATCCCAATCCCTCTGTAATTTTGTTTCTTCTGAATATCACATGCATCATCTTTTCCAACTATTCCCTCATGTTCCACTGTAACTACAATATATTGACTGTAAATTTGATCACTACAAAGAACTCATTTTCGAATTTCAAAACTTGATGAAAATTTTCTCATTGAGGTGAAATGCTGCTCCCAAGAGTATTCACTTCACTTAATTCAGAAACTATCAATGTTCTTTCAATCATTTCTGGTATGGCTAGTTTCCTTGTAATTCTCACTCAACCATAAACTAGTTCTAGCATCAGTGTAGAGCTTTGTAGTCCCCACAAGGCTCTCTAGAGAGTGCGACTTGGCAAGTACTTTAATGAGTGTTTCATTGGGCCGAGTTCTATGGTATGGAAATATTCAGTTCAGACTCGATTGCATCACAGAGAGATTCTATGTCAAGGGAATCTAGTACTTCACATGCAATGGGAGCATCTTATGGGTTTGGGTCTGATATTACACGACAAAACCGATATCAAAGCCAAGCTTACTCTCACATGAGTTTTCTGTTTTGTAGAGTGACTCCAACTCAGTGTTTCAAGGAGTAAAGAAAGAAGTAGTGTTCCCCTCTTGAGTGTCTTTAACTTGATTGTAACATCATCTCTGCAGTTCTGGGTAGAGTGTTAAAGAGGAATAGAAGCTTTGTTTTGAGCTTGATTAAGACTCGATCTTCAAAGTTCTTATTCTGCTGGAGCCTAGAAGTTCACTGAGTATTATTCCCTAGGTTGAGTTCTTTGTTTGCAGCAATTAAGAGAGATCTTTTGCCGTGGTTAACTAAGTTCACTAAACCCTGGTACGGCAACGTTCACACCTTTTCGAGCACTTGTATAACAGAGATCACACTCCTCTCAAAGGTAAAATCATGATGAATGAAGTCTCTCCCAGTGTTCAATTGACGGACTCGGGCCGAGTACTCAGCCGAGGTCAATGTCTGAGTAACTCCACCCGAGTTGCCCGAGCATTGTTCATGCTAAATAGTGTTGAAATTTAAAAAATATAAAAAAAATCCACAAAAATAAAAAATATATATTTAAAGTAAAATTAAACAAAATACATTTAAAAGAGGCTAAAAAAATAATAAAAAAATAAATTTTGAAAAATCAATGTGCGATTGGGGCTATTTTCAAAATAATCCAAAAATATAGAAAATATATATATATAAAAATAAGCCAAAGTACTTCCCAATCTTCGATCCAAAATGTTGCGGGCAGAATATAAGGTGGTTTAGGTTGAAGATATATCTACAGTGATAATTGTGGCCTGGCACATGAGCGCCATACCGGCTTTTGTTTTACAATTTAAGTTACTGCCTTTTGTCTCAGGACCTGGGTTCTATGCGGCCAAGCCCGCACATGTAGAAATACGCGCATCTTAATAAATCTATTTTTGAGATGAGTTTTAAGAGTTACTTTTTAAGGACTTGTGATCTCTAACATGGACATCATAAATACGAGAAAACAAACAAATTTTAAAAATTAAAAATAATAATTCTAGTAAGAAAATATTTGGACTGTTAGTTTCCATTGTTTTCAGATGGAACACCTACTTCTATCCATCTTTAAGATGGATACTTCACACTTTATGGACTGCATATGTAGAAATACGGTCCAGCCTGTATCAAAAAAATTTCCTTAATCTTATGGGCACGGTTTCTATGAGTCCATGTAGAAATGAGTCACCGCTTAAAAATCTATTTTTGAGAATTTTTAGACTTAATTTTTAAGGACATGTAATCTCTAACATGGAAATCGTGAATATGAATAAATAAATAAATTTTTAAAATTAAAAATAACAATTCTATTGAGAAAACATTTAGACCGTTAGTTTCAATTACTTTTAGATGAACAACCTATTTGTATCCGTTTAATATAGATGCTTTATACCTCGGGGACCACAAATGTAGAAATGCGATGCCTGCCATATGATACAATTTTCCTGATCTTATTATTGAAACCGGAATGGCCTTTCGAAAACTCTTGTTTAAAAATAAGGCCACAAGACATTCTTGACTTTAAGGGTAATTTCATCAATAAATAAAAAAAAACTAATGTGATTAAAAAGATATAAGGGAGGGCATACGCGCAGAGTGCAATCCAGGGGGTTTACATAACTTTCCCCTGTAATAAGGGGACATCATTCTTAAAGCCTAGGTTTAAAAAAAAAAACAAAATAAAGCATCACCTCAAATCTTCCCCCAGAAAGTATTTTTGGCAACATAAATATTTATGAAGGCTGTAAAATAAATTTCCAACACCGACAATAAATTTGAAACTCAAAAAATGGTATATATCCTATGCATACGTGAACACTTATTCTTAAAGTAAAATGGACGGTCTAAGATAATTTATTATAATATATGTTATTTTTAGAGCTTGAAATCCTAATTTTTTTCACTAGTTCAAATCGCGATGATCAATGTAAAAATTTTCCAATAATTTTGGATGAGTTATGAAGAGGATTTACTTAAACCATTTCCCTTCTTCTTAATGTATACGACTCATTCTTAATTTTATCATTCTATGTCCCAATCCTATCTCTTGATGCCTATGGTGCATCCCATATATGCAGTCATATGCAGCATTGTATAATTATATTTTTTTTAAGGTGTGGTTTGTATGAACCAGAAGCTCTAACCAATCAAATTAAGGCATACATTCAAATAGTACTAAGACATGTTGTTTTAGTGTCATAAATCTTTGAGAGAGCGTGAAAATTTAATTTTATCTCTATTATAAAATTTGAAAAGTAAAATGTAGTGTAGATCAAGCAGATTCTTGAACGCTTAAAAATCTTGAAATTGACTGTCTAGATAATACATTAGAATGCAGAGCAGTGATTTTATGCAACGGTTATATCATAATATAATGCAACAACTTTCAAAAACCATGTTATGGCCATTTGTTTGATCCAAAATTTAAAATATACACTCTTTTCATTGTAATGAACAATCAAAAGAAAGAAAAATTCGAAAACGCAACCTAGAAAGTATTTTTTTAGCACAGTTAACGTAGGCCGTTCATTTCGATAAGATATTTAGATCTAGGCCTTAAAAGGAATTTTTTCTTTTTATTTTATAATTTTTTTAGATGGCTTTATTATCATTAGATGAACAATGGTAAAAAGAAAAAAAAATGATTTTGAGCTTGTAAAGGCTAAGATCTTGAAATTCACCAAATGAGCGGTCTAGATTCGTTGTTGGAGGGGACTCATTTTGACCATATCTAGGGATTCAAATTGAATATTTTTCTTTTTGGGATTAATTATTGAGATGAAGAGAGTGTGTGTGCAGAATTTTTGGTCATACAAATACCACAAACATGACTTGTTAGAAGTGTTATTGTATTATGCTATAATATAACCGTTGTATTAGATCACTGCCCCACAATGTATACTCTTTCCAAAACTTGAAATTTATTTTTTCTCATGTTTATACAACTTGAGTTCGTGATAATCGACTTGAAGGTTTTTAGCATTGAAATAACCTCTTCTAGTGAATTTTTAAGGTGCACCTTAATTTGATTGTTTAGGATCTCACCTTTATTAAACTTTTTCCTTATATTTATATTTCGCTCCGTCTCTTAGTATTCTCACGGTCAGTTAATGGAATCATCAAGATAATGTGTAGAAAGGGAGATTTATCAAAATAACAGAATTTACTCTCTTAAAAAAGAAGTAGGTATATGATGTTGAACTCTTAATCAAAATAATTTGGTAAATTTCACTGGTGGAAATCCAAAAGATTAAAACACCCCTACATTTACCATATAATATCGAATTTGGCACTATGTATAGCTTATGAGAAACAGTGTTATCAAATGGGCCGGTTCATCTCGGAACTGGCCTGGGAATTGACGGGTTCTAATTTTGGTGATTTGGCTGGGTATATTAAAAAAAGTTCAAAAATATTTATAAAAAACCCAAAAAATAAGGGATTGGTTTGTAATATATTTTTTAATGTTATTTTTTTTATCATTTTGATAAAAAATTAAAAGTGTTTGGGCCATAAATATTTATTTGTACAATTTTTTTTATCATTTTAAAATTTTCAAAAATATCCATAGACACCAATGATTTTTTTTCAATCTATTTTTTAATTTATTTAGAATATTTTTTTGAATTTGTTTTAACATTATTTGACCGATCAGGACATGATCAGTTAGGCCTACTGGCTGATATACCGATTATGTAATAAGGCCTGGGCCGGTTTCGTCTAAGGGGCGGCTCGCTTTTTGGAACAATACGAGAAAGAGGTCGAATCGGAGACCATTGCCGATCCCAAAGTTTAGAGAGGGAAAGAGAGAGAGAGAGAGAGGGAGAGAGAGAGAGAGAGACTGACCACTTGTTGCAGAAACTGAGCCTGCATCTTGTTGCATATGAAGTCCTTCAAGGCCTTTGGGCGATAGATATCAGCCCAAACAAACCTCTTCTCCTTTTGCCTCTCCTCTGCCTCCTCTCCCAAAACCTTACCTTTCTCCACTATTTTCTCTATTATCTGCGCCTTCTCCACCATAACACTTTCTCTCTCCTTCACATCATGAACCTCCGTCAAATCACTCTCCCTCAATGGCTCCTCCTCTCCCAAAACCCCACCTTTCACCACTATTTTCCCTATCATCTGCACCTTCTCCACTGTAACACTTTCTCTCTCCTTCACATTATGAACCGCCTTAAAATCTTTCTCCCTCAATGGCTTCTCTTCGTTAGCCCCCAACTTTCTCCCCTTTCTCCCCTTAGCCTTTGCCGTAAAGCAAGAAGAACCCAGTTCCTGTAACTTAAGGAAAACAGTCGAGAACGAGCTAGATGTGGAGGAACTTCCATGGCTGGCTCGACTCGGGCTCGAGCCCGCCTGTCTGAGGCGACTGATATCGAGACCTGAGTCAGTTAGACCATGGTAGTAAGGGCTTGGGTCGTTCTTTCGGTTGAGCTCTTTCAGGCCTGCTTCGGTGAGTTTTGGTGGTCGGTTCGAAACCCTGACCCTCCTGAGCCTGGTGGGGGTGTTTTTTGAGATGGTGGGTTCGGAGTGTGCTCGAGGAATAGGTGGCTGGGTTCGAACAGCCTTGGTTCCATTAGGGTTCATCTGGTGTGAGAACGCAGAGAGAGATGAAAGGGATGAGATGATGTTTGTGAAACTGGTTTTGAGAAGGTTTGAGCGATGAAATCTAGAGTTTTAGCGGAGAGAACAAGAGAGAGACAGAGATGGGTGTGCCTGAGAAGGTGAAGCAAAGGGAACTTTGTTCTCCGCGTCTGTATGCATCCATGAGTTGTCGGAGATTTCAAGGCGTGGAGATAGAGATTAAGTCGATGCTTCCTTGCATGAACAGGTTTTGCATATAAAGAGATGAGGTGTCCCAACTCTAAGCATTGCTCGAAGATATTTTCCAAAACCTTAAAATAACTTAGAAATCCTATGTCCAAAACCTAATTAAAATAGCTTGAAATCCTATGTCCAAAATCGAATTATGAAAGTTAAAATTTTAAAAACAAGGTAGAACGAGCAAATATGTAAACATTTGAAAATCTTCAAAATAATTAGTTTAGATAACTTGTTATAAGATGAACTATTTTTAAGACTTGTGATTCTTTTTTTTTTTCTTTATATCCATATATCTCGAAGTTGAGATGATCAATTAGAAAGCTTTCCAACTTTTGAGATCATTTATAGTATAAGGTTGCAACCTTGAATACAATTTTTCGTAAAATTTAATGGATTGAAAATTTTAATTAATTGGATCATGGATTTTGAAATAATTTTTAGTTTTTTAATATTTTATATCAATTTATTTCTAACGTTTCATCATCATCACCATAAGAGTCTTTTATCAAATAATTGGGGTTAGCTACAAGAATCTTCATCCGCCATTCTACTCTCTCAAGGGCCATACTCTTAGAGAGGTCATAAAGTTCCTATATTTTTTTTCACTATTTCCAAACATGTCATTTTGGACTTAGCCCTTGTTCTTTTTTAGCCTTCCACTACATCTTAAAAATGTTGGTCTTGCGCTGCACATAACAGTCCACCTAAATCTACTTTCTCTCATCTTATCGCCTATTAGTACCACACCTAAATTCAAAGTTTTTTAAAGTCTACAAGAAATATTAAAAATATATTGTATAAAATAAAATGACCAAAATAGTCATGCATTTTACATTACTATTTGGTCAATTTATTTTATGTAAGATATTTTTATTAGGTATGAGGCGCACTTATCCACCAAATTTCAAATCAAACAGATTTCTCAATAAAAGAAAATTCATAGAATTTTTCGTATGCTCCCAACCATCTGATAAAGCTCGGACGTTGGGGTATATATATATATATGGTGTGGTTTGTATAGAGCCTAGGATCTAAACAATCAAATTAGAGCCTACCTTCAAATAGTATCCAAAAATGTGGTTTCAATATTTGAAATCTTTGTGATAGCCTTAAAATATAATTTATTATTTATTTATAAAGTTTAAAGCTTTAAAAATAGTGTAGATCCATAGATCTATGAAAACTTGAAAATCTTGAAAGTTGGCGGTCCAAAAAGGCATTACAAAATACACTATTTTCAAAACTTGAATCCATTTTTTTTCTTGTGTCTATGCTTCTTGATGTCGAGATGATCAATTTGAAGATATTTGAACATCAAAACAACCTATTCTAGCGAAAATTTTGAGATAGGCTCAAATTTGATTGTTTAAAGCCTTGGCTGTATATAAACATTTCCCCATATATATATATATATATATATATATATATATATAGTTGGTTT